ACTATTAGATATTATTTATAAGTTTATATAATTTTAAGAAATACTTATTAAAAAATATGATATCTAGAATAATACGTAGTATTTAATATCTAGAATTAGAGTTAGAATTATAAATTAATATTACTTAGCGTTTTAACGCTAAGATTATTATAACTTTTCGATTTCTTTATTATATTATATTAAAAAAAGATCTACAAGTAATTTAAAACGTACTCTAAAGATTAATCGAATTACTTTTATATAAAATTTAACTAATATAAAGATAATATAATTAATAATAATAATCTACGAGCTAATAGCGAGTACTCTTACTATTAAAAAGTTTAATATTAATATATTAAGACTACGCTTATAATACTACTTTCCTCTCTAAAATATCGATTTTCTTAGCGATATAGATTAATATAAGTTCTCCTTTCTATTAATAATATTAAGATCGCTATAAATATATACCTACGAAAAATTTAATAAAACTCTAAAACTTTTAATAGCTTCGAGAATATTTATCTTCAGCGATAATAACGACGTTAATACGCTTCTCGGCGTATCTAATAGATATCTTATTAATAGTATATTATAATAACATTTCGAGACTTCAATTTTAAAGAAAATATATAAAGAAGTAATTAAATAATAGCTAAATAAGTATTTTACTATAAAATAACTATTAAATATTACATTTTTAGACGAAGAAGATAAGTTAAAATAAAGGCTTCTAATTAGTTAGATATCGTTAAATTACTTTTAAATTATATACGCTAAAACTTAAATTAATATTAAATAGCTTTCTTAGTAAAATACTAAATTTATAAAATTATATCGAGGTTTTAAATGATAATAGCGAGGCTTAAGATAACGTAATATAATCTTAAAAGTAGTTATCGAGTATATAAGTAAGGGCTATATCTTCGATAGACTCTATAAGATATTATCATTAAGTATTAAGTCGCTAAGTAATCGAGTTATAAATATAAAAAGATAAGATCTTATTATATATCTAGAAGACTTTAAATAAATTTAATTCATTTAAAAATATAAAGTTTAAGATTTATCGTATTATATATTAGTTTAATTATTCTAGCTAAATATATATAACTTAGTATATACTCGCGTTAGATAATATATATACTTATCGATCTTATTTCTTTATTATATTCTCGCTATTAATATAAGAAGATAAATATATTAATTAATAACCTTCGATTTTATTATTAGATATATTCTTATCTACTATATCGACGTTATAAGATAAAAATTTGATATTAAAATATCTTATCGATTTAGCTATCTTCTTCTCTTTCTACTTTATAACCTCTTATACTTAAATATCTATTATATTCTAATATACGATTTAACGATAAGTATCTTAAAGTCTTAATAAAATAGTAAGAGTAAGGTTAAAGTTTTCGGTTTTAAGTATATACTAATAAATCTACTCGCGTAAAGTATTATAAATTATATTATATTAAGAGCTTTTATTCTTATTAATATTTAACGCGTTTAGAGTATAAGAATTATAATTTATATTAATAATCTTCTAATCGTAGAACTTTATTATAGCTAGCGTTAAATATTCATTAAGATTATAAAATAATTACTTCGATATATATATATATATATATTAATTAAACTATCTTTCTTTCTCTTTAATCTTAAATACTTCTAAATTAATATATAGATCTTATAGCTAATCGACTATAATATAATCGCCTTTCTATTTATAAATCTAATAACTATTCTAAATATCTCGCTATTTAAATATTTCTTTATAAATAATAGATATATAGATAGTTAATAGCGCGATTTTAAAAGCCTTATTATTTTTTATTAAAAGAGTTATTAATATTTATTCTATTAAAGAATTTAATTTAACGATTAATTATTTTATCGTAAAGCTATATCTATTATAACTCGATTCGTTAATTAGTAATACTCTTATTATATATCTAATAGTCTCGAAATAGAGACGTTTCGTCTTTCGAATTTAATGCTATATATAGATATTAATAAATATTAACTATAATTATAATCTCGATTTCTCGATCTAAATATATAAATTTTAATATTATTTTAATTATCTTAATAGTATAAAGATACTATATATTAATACTAATAGCGATATAAGCTAAGATTTTAATATAAATTTAAATAATAAAGTATAAGTAGATATCGATATAGGCGTAAATCTAAATGTTATAATTGTTAAGCTTTAAATAGTTATTAACGAATTAGACGAAATTAGACTTTAATAACCTTTATTTTCTTTAATAGTAATTCGTCTACTTATCTTATCGAGTAACTCTCTTAAAATCTATTTTCTTTAGAGCTACCGCGATATAATTTCTATTAATAAAATCTTTTCGATTTTAATATATATATATATATATTAGTCTAATATTGAAGTTTATAGTTATCGAGTTCTCGATAATAGCTCTAAGCTTCTTTTATAGCTTTTAATTCTAAATTACTAAATTATCTAGTTTATACTTACGCCTTATATCGTAAATAATTTAAAAGCGTCTAAGCTAACGCTTTATAATATTAAACTCTACTTTATATAGATTACGTAGAATCTTTATATCTAATATTATTCCTTTATAGAAAAAAGCTATTAAAAACTCGCTATTGGTTACTTTAAGTATATTATTATAGAACTAAGAATTCTTTTACTTTATATTCTATTTTATAAGATTATATTTAAAAGTAGAAAGAGAGTATGTCAAGGAAATGGATGACTGGGTTATGAATTCATGGTGGTGTAAAAAGATGTTCATTATTCTATGTGCCTGCAGGGCAGATATGTGCGGTGCCAAGCCACGCTAGGCCCAATTGGCTAGTGGCTCTGGAGGAGGCCTTGGCGTACCGTGACAACATGCCCGCAAAGAATGAAAAAAAGACACGTCCTCGTGGCTGCATCCCTGGATAGCTACATTGAGCATGAGCCGTCCATATATCCATGCACCTATCCTTGGCCTATAGCCTCCATATCCTTCGCGAATCGAGTGTAACCGAGCGGAGAGGCGAAAGCGAGAAGAGAGGTGAGAAAGGTGGCGAAAACTGGTGTATTGCTGAGGCGAGGGGAAGGTTCTCCGCAAATATGCATAGTGGCCTGGTGTGGGATTATGGAGAGTGTGCCCGCTTGAATAGGACTGCTGTGGTTCGTGCTCTTGTTCTTCTCCATAGTCTTCTCCGTAAATTTCTCCGCAGTTTTCTCCACATTTGCCTGTTGCAATGGCCTATGCTCTTGTTCCTGCTTTGATAGCTGTGCCGGCTTTGGCATTATGACTGACTGCTTTTGCTGTGGCTGCAGTGGGTTGAAATACTTATCGAATGCCTGGCGAAGCATTACTTGAAGCGCTGGTAGAAGGATATTCGTGAAGGAGTGATTTTGCTCTGCCGTGAAGCCGCGAATTATCTGGCTGTTGGAAGACATGATGTAATGTCAAATGGCCTAATGAAAGGATTGACTGATTGGCTGATTTGCGTAGACTGAATCTAGCTGCGTAGCAGAAGCGCGGGGGGCTGACTGTCGGTATATTGTGACTACTGGTCGAGTGACGATATAGACGACTTGAAAGAGGACCTGGGTTAGGTGTGGCTATCAATTGTCAAGGAAATGGATGACTGGGTCATGAATTCATGGTGGTGTAAAAAGATGTTCATTATTCTATGTGCCTGCAGGGCAGATATGTGCGGTGCCAAGCCACGCTAGGCCCAATTGGCTGGTGGCTCTGGAGGAGGCCTTGGCGTACCGTGACAGAGTAGATAGTATATAAATCGCTTTACTTATTAATCTAAAAAAATTTTTTTATTATTTAATATTTATTATTATTTTTTTTTTTTTTAAAACCGCTACGCTAATCTGTTAGAGGGAAACGAAAAAATATCCCGACAGGACTCCCGTCCTGGAAACACACACTCGTCCTGCGCTAGACATTGCAGGACGCCAAAAAAATACCACCCGGACTGTTGGAGGACGCGATCGGTACCGGAAACCGCTAATGCGGGAATTTTCCACGTGGCACGAGAACCGAGAATGGTTTTGGTTTTGGAGGGCGTGGGCGGCTGTTCTGATCGTGTCGTGTTTTTGTTTGGCGGGGGATTAATTTGGGAGGGGGGGGAAATGGGGGAAGGCAGGGTGGGATGGGCTGCGGGCTTGCGGCCGGTAAGGTGGCCGGTAGGACTACCGGGTTGGATGGTCTTGGGAAGGTTCCGGGTGTGGGGGAGGGGGGGGAAAGGGTCATTGCTAGATTGGTTGGTTGTTTGGGTGTGTATTATTTTGGGACCGTGACGGAGCCGATAAGTCGGGATTGAGAGGGTGAGGGTTTGCTTATTTGGGGGTGGGGGTTGAGAATGACATTGTAGCATAGCTGGCGAGGATCGACATAAGCGGCATTTTTAGATTGTGCTGCTAACGCAGGTACGTGATGTTGATCCTTGAATGGAGGGGCCCGGAGGGGGGGGGAAGATTAAGCGAGCGCGAAATGGGAAAACCAGGCAATGTTTTACAATCTTAAACCCTTTTTTTTTAGATTTCCAAGACAGTGAGGACTGAGGGTTAGGAGGACGATGCCTGTGACGTCCGCATTGATGGTCAGGTGGGAAATGAGTGGGGGGTGGGACGGTAGAGGGGTATAAGTACATTGTACGCTACCTGCGTGGAATGGCCTTTTCTTATGAGATGAGCAATAAGCGAGTCAGAGTAGCGACAAAGGTGATTAGCCGGACATTCTGGTTACTATCGTGGATCTAGCTTTCATCGAGCCTAGCAGAAAAGGTGATTTGTGAGTCAGGGCAGCCTTGGTCTTATATCCACATTCTGCTCACCGAGTCCCCCTGCTGTTCTCTGTATTGTGAATGACTTCTATTCCTCTTCAGGCCAATGCTGACATGCATGTCTGAAGGTCCAGACAGTCGGATGCCAAGCACAGGACTCTTCTTCTACGCGAAGTTCCTGGGCATCTTGTCTTGCTGTTATCTGGCTAGGTGTCCGTCTAGCTATGCCGTCCGTCCCCTTCCTTCTCGAACATCCTCGTCGCCTCTGCTTACATGTTCCCCTCTTCAGAAAGGAGGTCGAGAGACCTCAGCATCAGCTGACAGTTGCATCGATTGCCAGACTTGGGAGTCGGTCGAAAACGCAATTGGATGGGTGGCGGTGTGCCGTGGAGAGACATGAACAGATTGCTTTGGGGCAAAAGATTGCTGGGTCTGAGGTTGAGATGAAGAAGTGGCTCGATGGGGTTGAGAAGAAGATTGGAGGAAGTGGGAAGTAGTAAAATGAGGGAGTAAGGCAGGAAGGGGTCTGGAATTAGTATAGACGAATGGAAGATAAAGATGAGAGTTCGCATCGTGGATTTGTGTTTTTCGATGTAGCATTTCGATATCCTTGTGCTGGAATAGGTCAAGTCTTGACTGTGCTGATTGTGAGCATTGAAGCCTGCTGGTACCTAAGGAGCCTCTAAGAGCAGAGGTTCCTGGGGCAAGTGACTAAAATCTCCCTTGGCCATCCATGATTTCTTTCTGCGAACCGGGGCTCTGAGGGCCGAACTGGTATGGATGTTTAGCCTCACACGATGTAGCTTGGATCAATCTTCATACATTTTGATCTCGAAGACTGTTCAGCTCAGCGCCCTGCAACTCCACGATGGCAACATTCGATCCGGTCAGAACATCTTCCATTCCAAGTAATTTTGGTCTCGAGATTTCGAGTTGCATTTTACCCCAGACTTGATGGCGCAACACGTCGGTGGTGACTGCCCAAATGAGTCGCTGATATCGAAGGATGGAAGCCTATGAATAGCAACAGGACCGAGATCGACTACTAGATCGCAAGTAGTGGTCGCGGCCGTAGTAGCGGGTAGCGAGGCCTTTGGTTGGCGGGCGAATTACTCGGCAGCCTGGGCAGAGCTTTGGCTAGGTTTAGCATTGTCGTTTCGTCTTGATCTCTGAGTTTCCACTTCTCCTGCGCACTTTCGAAATATGGCTTCTCTTTCATCCATTGAGACCAATTCTCGACCACCTCCAGAGCGTGGTGCCGAGAAGTTTCGACCATTCATCGGGTATTGTGTTCTAATTCTGCATGGACCAGAGTTTCGACTTCGAGGCTTGCATATAGTAAATGGTCCGCAAGTTCCAGAGCTATGGATTGTAGGGACTGAGCAGGAGTCCTGGAACCTGGGTAGGAAGAGCGAGGTTCATTTCTATCAAGGCCCATTTTTGTAGCTTCTGGGCCGTTTCGAAACGGTCGATGCCTGCTAGTAAGGGTTTTGTTTCTATCACTCGTTCGATCGAGATTTCGAAGAACGTCCAGATGCTTTCCGAGCCGGATATGAGTCTGAAGTGACATAGAATACGAGTCAGTGAGCGGATCCGTATGATGATATCCAGAACGCAGTTTTGACAGCATGGGCGGAGCGATTCTGAACTTCGAGGCTTGCAGGTGAGGTATCGGTCTGACAATTGGTGAGCCATGGATTGATTGACAAAGAGAATCCAAGCGGGAACGATATGGCCGTGCTTGCTCAGATGTTCGCTGGTATTGGGCACTTTCAGCTGAAAAGAAAAACCGACAGGTACACTCAAACGGAATTTTGTCCAACCCAGGGTCAGACATCCATAATCAGCAATCTACATATCGACTTTTGTCATGAATAGTCTGGGCGAGTATGAAAGCCAGGGACGTAAAGGAGGTTATAGTCCCCTATCGGTGAGTAGGGCTATTGATCTTGACATAGTTAAACGAAGGTGAATGCGAATGCCGCGATATTGTTGGCCCTGCTTGCTGCAGATTCACTGTGTATTGTAGCCACTTCTCAGCTGAAAAAAAATGCAAAGGTACATTTCAAACGGAACCAGCGTCCGCCTTCCACATCGACGATTATAGCCCGCCTAAGTAGTGGTGTATGATTTCAATACATAGTCCATAATCTTCTCTTCAACTTCAATAGATATGCTCTTAGGTATAGGCCGCTTCGCGAGGCCGGCTTCTCTCGTCGCTTCTTTCGCTTCTTTCACCTTAGGGGACCCTTTTTCCTCCTAAGCGAGCGAGTCGGAATGCCGCTGAATGTATGTATGTATTTATGTAAGTCTATAGGTAAGATTTTAGCGTCAAGCTTGACTTCAGCCTTACGCCATACCGAATACTCCTTGACGTCTTCTGACGAATGATGGAAAAGATGCAAGTTCCAGGTTGCGTCCATCTATGCCAGGCTAATGCAGACTACACTACTGCACGAAACGGGGTCCGGGCGAGATCCGAGAAATTAAAATCCTTGGGGGCTGGATAGGGATGGTTGTCCGGGGGCCGGTTCCAATCGCATAATTGATTGAGTGGTTGACAACCAGCGGGGAAGCAGGTAGGAGAAGCCGAAGGGTATAAGGCTACCGGGTAAGGCTTTTCGGCTGGAGAAGGAGTGCCACACCTGGTTTCCGGACCTTCTGGAAGCCTTTCTCCCTCATGTGGATCCTGCACTTTTCACGGAGTCTGGTTCTCGAGCGAAGGATTTCGCTTAGTCCGCCAGTCCGTTTATGCGCTGCTGCAACTCGGGAACTACGTAGCTCGCATTTCGCTAATTTCACGTGAGGGTGATGGATTCAGTCTTCTTGTTGTTGGTGTAAGTAAGGACGTACAAATTGTTGATTTGCAATCCGTCGAAATCCAAGTCCCCTGAGGGATTTGAGGGCCCCATGTCTTTCTCTATTTGTCAATGTTGCGAACGTTTGGCTAATCCTAAGAACGGCACTCTGTGGTTTCAGGATCAAGGCATTCTTTTATGCAGCCAATTGAGTGTTTATTCTGCGACTTTTTAGAACTGAGATTGATGTTTGGTGTGAGAAACGTAGATGCTGGTCGGTCACTAGCCCAGGTACATGCTGGGTACATGCGGTTGATTTGGAATATGGTTGACATCAAGCATTCTGAGCCTATCAGTTGTATAAAGTCCTCGCTTTCTCTTTATATTTCAGATTTAGCCTGATTCCAAGGCGGCAGTTTGCATTCTCAAGGGAGAAGAGTTCGCTTAATCCGATCAATAAATGTCTGCTCTGTTGAGATCTAAGCGATGTCTGACAAATATGAACTTTAAACTGCTTACTGACAGCAGATGCATCCTGTCGTTCTTTGAATATGCAAGATAGGACTTCAGACGCTCGGACACTTTGCCCATATGAAGTCCTCGAATGTGTTTCGACGTTTGAAAAACTGCCTGATCCCTGCTTCGTGTCAGGCGGCGAATGGTGAAGGTAGTGTGTTTGATGGAAGCGAGAAAAGAGGCGGGAGGGTACAAGTACTTTGTACATACCACCCGCTGGGAATGGCTTCGTTGGTGTACACGTTTAAGGAATTGGTGAAAGAGGCGACAAGGTTGGGTCAATCTGACGTCCACCGAGAGGTCAGCTCTCAATCTAGCAGGTCCTAAAATTATTCGTTTGAGCCTGCTCTTCCTACATGAACTAGTTCTTAGATGCTTCTTTTCTTGCATTTCTCGTCACATCACTACAATTGTTCTTACCAGAAGATCTAGGGCTATAGAACTCAAATCCAACGCCCAGCACCTGGGGCAATCCTTTCTAGCATCCGACCCGACGCTCTCTACTTGAGGAGCAAATTAGCGATAGTGTGGGTTTTCTCCCGTCCAAACCCTCTCGGTTCCTCTCTGCTGATGAATGGTTCCACTAGTATGGACGCCGAGAAGCCTCCGCCTCCGCCTCAGCTGACAGTCACAACGCTTGCCAGACTCGGGAGTCAAACAAAAGCACAGTTGAAGGCATGGCGACACACCACGCAGAGACACGAGCAGATTGCGTTGGCAAGAGAGAGGTCAGGGTCGAAGGTCAAGACAACAAAGTGGCTCGAAGACGTTGAGAAGAAGATTGAAGGGATTAGCACGAAATGATTGACAGGGGGATAGATGAAGGAGAGTGGGACGACAGTGGATGAGCCTGGTCGCCGAAAATAGATACTCGACTTCAGCCACGCATTCTTACATGATGACTCAGTCTGAACAAAAGATCATATATTGTTGTAGTAACGCCAAAGCGAAATAGAATGAGAAGGAAAAGGATAACGCCATGCAATGGGATTAGATGACGGCAATGATGCTTTTTGTTTGAATGATTTGGGATTCTACCGGGACGCTAACAAGAAAGATAACGTGGATGGTAATGGTGGATTTGGCGACGCCGATCGAGACGGTAAGGGATCAAAAGCTACTGCTGATAGGGACGCTGTGCAAATGTTCCTGAAGGAGCTATGTCGCGCAACTTTCCGCCCCACTTGGAATGGAACCAGTGAGACCGATGAACCTTGCAGATTTGATCATGTAGACAAACAACCTTGGATTTAAGGAGTCCATTTAGATCATCGTCGGCAGCTTTGCCAATACAGCACGACCCTACTCCTTCCTATCTGTCAGCGTCCACATCCCTTCTCTGCCGTCCCCAAACGCATTCGTAGGGACGGAGGCCCAAATACTGATCGTATGCTCGACGCAGCTGAGCTTCCTGACCCAATGAGTGAATGCAGATTCGATTACGAGATCAAAGACCTCACGCGGTAGTACCGACTATGATACCAGTCCGCAGATGGATAATGAATCGATGTGACGATCCTCCATCAGAAAATACCCTGGGCTCTTAGCTTACCCACTCCCGCGTCATTCCGCACCAGAAACCCCTCCAACCCCGCGCCTATACAGCCAACCCCTTCCAACCTCAATCTCATCCACATACACAACAAACCTCGCCTCTTCAAACCGGTTCTGCTCATACATATACAACGGCAGCTTCGCCAGAGCCAGGATTAAGTACCTGTACTCAAAAGTGGGCTGGACCGTGAGGTAGGAAGAGTCCCACCGTAGGAAAGTGCGAGATGAGTGATCTTCGACGACTCCGGGTCCGTCAATTCGGGCGTATTGAGGCCACGGTGCCAGGGATAGTACGCCTGCGTAGATGGTGTGGAAGACGGCATCGATCTCTAGCGGTCTTCCTAGTAAGCTAACTTCGATGTTCAGATTCGTTATGTCCGGTTTCCCAGTACTGAGGGTGGTAAAGTTGTTGATTGTGGTGGTGAGGTTGGCTAGTCGTAGTTTTGGTAATGATCTCTGTGTGGGAAGTGCAAGCCCGAGAGACATTTCGGTAGAATTACCAGTGGCGATGCCCAAGGAAGATCCGCCAAGAATTGACACATAGCCTAATTTGAGCCGCGGCCTACTCTCATCTGGAACCCAGTACACAGTCAATACGCACGCTCTAAACCCATGGGCCGAGGTCTCGCGGATGGCGATGTAGAGGCCCCAGATCGCATGGCGGTACTGCAAGGTTGAAGGGTTCTGGCTAGCGTGGATGCGGATAGTGACATCTCCGTAGCTGGAAAGGGAGTATATTGCTTCCCATTTCAATTCTGGAGTCCAGCCTTTGGTCGAAAGGTCTGCTAAAGCTAGCAGGGTGTTCATGTAGGCGGATTCTTTGTCGAGGAACTCGTTGGCGAATTTGATGTCGTACGTGAATCGTGGGTCTACAATCGTTGATGTGAGAGTGTTGTTTGGGCTGGGTGGAGTATCGGATGCAGCTGTGGATGAACTTTGTGGAGGAGGTGAGAGTTGTGCTTCGTCGATGAGATGCGGAAGAGGGATGATGGCGTCTGAATGCACTGTGGCCAAGGCAAGGAGGCTTACCCGAAGGAAGAGTAGCATATTGCGCTGTATGAGCTTGCGAAGTTGAAAGGAAGGGCAGAAATTTTGGAGAGATTCTGCGAAGGAATTTCTGCTGGGTTTCCGTACATAATGCTCCAAAAATGCAGCTGTGCTGTCCGGTTGACAGCGGCTTCACGGTCGAAAATGGGAAGAGGATCCAGACTAGACGTGTCAAAAGCGTACTGGATCACTGCCTCTAATTGTGGCGATGTAGAAAAGTGAAACATGTTTCCGCTGAAATGGTAGGACTCTTGACTAGCAGAAGCGTTGCGCGACAAGCGATTAGCGAGCGGGTCGTAACTCGATCCGACGATCCTCTTCTGGAGGTAAGATCTCAGTCTCATTGACTAGAAGCGCCTACATGCGACAAGAGACGTATGAATGGTTAGGACAGCCACGCTCGTCCTCAGTCCGAAGGACTGTCGAACATATAGCACTTTGAGCTGCTACACCTCGAATCTATTTGGCGATCTATGGAGACAGTCGTGAACGAAATGACCGGAAGCTTTCGAGATAATGCGGTTACTGGCACCATACGGCGAAAAGTCGACGCTTATCTTGAGCGGTCAGAACAAAGACGGATGGGGTCTGCAGGAAAGGCCGGCACTGGAGCTTGGGTTGGACGTCAGGTGGTTGGTCTTGGCACTGGGCTCGGTCTTCTCTTACTGCTTTCATTGTTGCCTACACCTGGAGTTGCGGTGGAGGCAAGGGTCTCCATGCGAGTCCCAAGGATCTTTGGCTTGCTTCAATCTCCTGGTACGATCAATTACAGACTTCCACGTGGTCTCAATTGTAGTCCGCCTGAACACGCTAGAGGCTAGAGCGTCCATTGGTCTTGAGTTTGCTTTGCTGAGACGGGTGTCTCATGCTCAAAACTGGCGTTGCTGGTTCAACAGCGTTGGAATTGTGAGAGAAGGGACCCGTCTAGGGATCTTGTCAATAGGTGAGGAGTTTTAGTGATTGTGGATAGTATCTGTCTCGATGACGGCTTCCACAGCATTCCGGTACACTTTGCGCCCGAGTTCCACCACCAGAACATCCATGAAGATCTGTTCAAGCTCTGTGTCCGTAGAGGTTGTCATGTCCACTCCCGTTCGCTCAAATTTTCGTGGGGATTGAGGCGCGGCATTGTCAGTGCCACTTTTGCGCCAAGCCGTGTGGAAATGCATCGACGGGCTCAAATGCGTGCCAAGACCGTTCATTTTCCGGGAAGAAGGAGTTCTGCGCTCAAGAACCCGACTGGCGTTTTCCAGAGGATCTGCGGAGGCTATCTTCAGAAGGCTTCAAGCTTGATGTCATCTCAGTCGTCAGACTGGGTATTTCTATACTATGATTGGTGCCGCGCCGGACTGCCAAGAGGGTAGATTTCTCGGACGCACGAGTAGAAAGTCCTCTCAGATAGCTCCGGATTGGCGTTAACATGACCGGCGGCAAATGTTTTGCGAGGTGCATGACAGCGACGCCATCTTCTGCTCCGTGGGGTGGGTCACGATCTTATTGGGTGCGGTGTTCCACCCCGCTAGTCTGAGCCAGTCTCCAAAGGGAAGGTAGGCTGCCAGGCTGCATAAAGCTAATCTGACATCCGTCTCCTATCAGGTCATTCGTGGGGGAATAAATTCATTATCAGTCGGAAATGAAAGGGTAAGTTGCTACAATGTAGCGACGGCTCTTGGTGCGATACGGAGTTATGAAGCAACCCTTCACCGATACACAAATATGAAGCCCGCCGTTATGCCTATCTGTTCCCCGCTATGCGCGTGATCGATGCTTGATGAGAAGACTATGCCTTTTGAGAGCAATGAGGTACATCAATCATTCTTTTTCCGATAACCTTAGTGGCTTTCAAAGCCTTAGTGCATTCTCATTGCGGCAGTCCCGAGAGGTTTCTATCTGGACTGCACACCTACTGTCGTATGGATGTCTTCGGCTGGCGATACGATCCGAAGAACTATAAAATTTATTGACATCTGTCAGGCCAAATAAAGGTATGATCGATGCCGCTTGAGCACAAAGCCATGATACGTGATTGCTGTCAGACATCCTTTGATCAAAGATCTTGTCAGACGCTCTGTGGTACGTTCGAACCATTGCAATGGAGAGAGCGTCTGCGGTATGACAGCATTAGTTTTCACGTGGCCTGGTGGCTCTGCAACCCCGGTTTGCTGGTCTGCTCTTGCTCAGTACGAGACCATGCACCATAGAGGGACCTTCGGGCCAGCGATGTCAATTAAGGCTCAAGAGCCCCCACGTCTCGGCTTCCCCAACTTTCGCAACACCAAGTTCAGACCCTGTCTTTTGCTGTAATCAGCACCCGCAGATCTGTTCAGGATGTCTGATACTCTGTAGTTTATTAGGGCTTTCTCATTCGCAGAGTACAGAGATGAGTAGAAAGTGAGCAATTGGCTTTCTGGTCCCGAGTATGACAATGCGCTGCATGCCGTCCCATGAGATTGACTATTTCCAACGTAGAACCTCGGGTTGCGTCGTCGCACCCTGTTGAGCGATTGCATTGTCGTTTGCGCTGAACCCCACAATCACTTTCCCCGTGCTAGAATTCCAAATCAACTGGCTTCAAATGCCTATGACTGATCACCCCTTCGAGCTCGCACTTCAGTACAGAAGAGTTTGCATTAGGTGTTTGTCGAAGATCTATCTGAAAGTAGCGTAGTCTAAGCTTTTGACAATCATGCGATATACGCAAATCTTCGGCGACCACCGAATGCAGGAATTACATCTGTTGATGATCGACCTTCTTCAGCAGCGAAGACTTTATCGTACTTGAGAGATGATATCTAATCAACGGCATACCCGAATCTAGAGGACGTCGGTAGCTCCGGCGTCGTATTCCCAGTTTATGGCGGTGTTTTGCAAGCGGCGGAGTATCCCTTTAGTAGACAGACTGGGAGCCCCGTATCCTTTGTACTGGAGTGATAACAAAGGTGTCTCTCCGGAGGGACCGCGACTAGGTGAAAAATGGGGGACTGTTCCATGTGCGCAACGGGTAGATCTTTTGCACTACTGCAGGACTATCGTCCGCTACTAGCCACTAAAGGTCTCAAGTCCCGGAATCCCTGACGTATGGCACCACATTAAAATCGCAGCCCGCCCCACCTGTTAGCGGCTAGGGCAGGACTTAGCGGTCGAAATGTTGCTTAGAGTTATGGGTAAAATTAGCGCCCTGGGGTATGATGCATGTTTGACATGTATAATAAGCACGGAAGCTCAGCTCAGGGACCCCTCCAGTCGTTGGAGAGATTGAGTACCGACAGGAATCGAAGTCTGGGGGCCAAAATTCGATTAGGGAACCGCTGCAGGACTCAAGCGTCGGTATAGCTCGCTCGAGATTTGATTGCTTGATTGTCCCAGCATTGCGAGCGAACTCTGTGATCACGGCGAGAAATCCCGGTAATCATATAATATCCTCTTACCTCCTTGAAGGCTTTCTGATTAGATCCAATAGACCTAGGTATTCGAGAGCGTCATTGGGAGGTCAAGCCTTCAGTACTATCAGATTCAGCTGTCTCCGCACACCAAAAGAGTTTCTCGCCCCAGATTTACCACCAGAAGCCAGAGTCCACCGCCTGCACCAATGCTGTTCGTCTAACAACCCAGAACTCCGTCTTCCGTCCCTGCTGACCGTTATGCGTTCATAGTCAAGATACTCGCACATCCAGAGTGACAGCAGAAAGCCTCGCTAGCCAGGGAGGGCGATCAACAGCACAACTTTACAGATGGCAAAAAGTGGCACAGACGCATGAGCAAGCGGCGATGGGACAGCCGACTTCCAGATCGAAGAAAAAGACAAAGAAACGATTGAGGAAGCTTGAAGAGAAGATTGACGGACAGCGAAACTGATGAAACGTTGGTAGAACAGGAAGGACGAGACGGAGGATGGGCGTTGAAAGGTTGAGACGGGCACATGACCAAAGCTAGATAATATAATGTTATGCTTCGAGTGATTTGATTGAGGAGTTGAGGTATATGATAGAGCTTAATGTCAGATCATAGAAACCCGGGTGCCCTTGAAGCATGTCAATCGAACGCTCATTATCATCGTTCATCAAATGTATGAAAAGTGTCTTCCCAATACATCCATGGATATATTTGTGGCCGCGCATGATGATTCTCCTGGCGATGGCCGCTTTATCAGTCTTCGGGCTTGGGATGTTCGGAGGCCGCGAAAATCTTGGCTTCTGGTCTACGAGCAGGCGGGATCAGTACCTAAGCTGCTCGTTGCGAGGCAGATTGACCATGCAGCTGATTCGGACAGAATGTGGTTCATCTCCAAGAGAAGCCATCGAGATCCATGGATGAACAACATCGACTGCCGCGTCTCCAGGACTGCTCCTGCTTCTCCCGAGTCTGGTGGATAGACACGCTCGATGAGGCGCATGACGGGTACATGAGACATAAGGGCGGCGAGCGATGAGGAGACGTCGCCGACGGCGCGCGGCACCATCGTGGTCTTGGCAGCCCTCAGCCCTATGAGGTTGGTATGAATCCCTTGAACACTTGCCCATGTACGAGTGCCACGCGTCCATCAATGTCAGAATTCTTCACTTCGTTGGATGGGTATGGATCCTCCATTCGGTACTCCCAACTCCTGCTATTTGCTTCTCCACCAGTGTCACGCGTTATGCGAATCACACAGCCAGTCCATACTGTCCATTCCTGATCGTTCTTCTCTCTTCACACAAAGCCACGCATCTTGAACTTCGTGCAAAGCATGCTATCGAGTATAAAGCTGTTCTCAGTCTTCTTGATGCCGTGGGTTGGTGGATATGGATGAGTCACATTTGATAGCTGTTCCTCCTTCGCCACGTGTCTGCTCTCTCATACAAACAGGCTCGGGGTCCAAGTCCGAGTCCAGCGCTACTAGCTTTATTCTGATCTTATCTTCTCAAGTATCCGATGTGACATCGACCGCTGCCGACGTTGCATTTGCTGTTTTAGCACTGGAAAAAGCACAAGGAGAGGAAGGAGCATCCGAACGCATCCGGCCTTTGGGAATCCTAGGTATTGTGTCCAATCATCTAGTCAAGGAACTCGTTGAGTTTATCTTCGTTGTCTGGAAGTCTTTTTGTCGATGGATCCTTGGAGATCATTGTTGTTCTGTACTCCCTTCTCGTGAGCGTTAGCTGGTTTCAAGAGGTGTCTGCAAGCAGGAAAATTCGCGCTCCTTGCTATTGATATCGGATATGTGGCAACATCAATCCACAAGCATAAGGCTGCCTGCATGCGCTAATGAAATATTCGTTGCGCAGCTTCCAAATTCGGCTGATCGACGCATTATCTGGCAGAAGACTATCCCTTTGTGGAGAGATTGGGAACTTTCATTGGCTGAACGCTTTGGCGCACCGCGCAAAGGCTCACGAGCCCGTGTCGACCTGCCCCATACCAACTGCGTGATTTACATCCGTCATGACGCCCCAGCGGGGTTGAGATGGTGGCCTTACGGCGTTTCTCCAGGCTTTCTTAAGAAGTTTTGTTTCCTTGACAGCCCCTGAGGGTGGCAATTTTTCTAGCTCTCATCTCACGGAACCATACCTCACATTGGCTTCGCTTTATGCTCCTTTCCTGGTTAACCTTCGCTGCGAAATGAACTCTACAGCATTGCCTAAATTGCCTCGCTGAAGCAGCGATCTATGTGAGTTTTCTTGTCTGCCCACGCTGGACCATTCCCGTTGATGGTCTCCCCTTAATCATAGAAGCATCGCTAACAAACCTCGTTCGCATCAGTCAAGCTTCCCTGAATACATCTCATTGGTCAATTGAACGAAAGGCGATGCTGGAGCTACCGGTTGTCAGGCATCCATCCCAATCTCGTTTAGTTCGGAGAACACTCCGCAAGGCAGGAAGTGTTGCAAAAGCTCATGTGTACACTCCACAATGATGATGAGGGCCATCCACGCGGTGTAACCGCTTGGCAATTTCCGCCTGCTAGTTCGACTTTTTGCAATGGCAGAACCGCAAGCCAGGGCAGCTTGCCCTGAGCGATCTGCAGAGCCGTTGTGGCAAGCAGCTCTCATCAAAGATCCGGAATAGCGCTAAATGTGCAGTTTATTCTGCCTTTGATCCACCCCCCTTCCACATCGCACCCGACACGAACTGAACAACTTGGTGAGCCGACCAAAGTCTTATACGGTCAACACAATGGCGAAAGTCAAACTGAAAGCAGTGCTCATTGGCTGCTGACCATACACAGCCCACGAACGTGACCTGGGATTGGCTGGCAGCCTATCCACATGCCAAAGTCCTCCCGCAAGCCCCTCCACCTGCCAACGATCCTCGACGCTCTGCGAATGCAGACACCACCTCGAACTATCCCACGTCTTCGCATAGGAAAGCCGTCAACTGCCCTGAGACCCATTCTTTACCTACTACGATCAACTTCGTACATCAATATCTCAACGTTCCGTTGCATCTGGTCGGCGCCTTCACGCATCAGTTTCTACATCAGATCTCACGATCAACATAATTAGTCGCTCGCAGCGTGCTTCGAGCACTGCTTCGCATCTAAGCGTCGCTGGTTGCCAATTCCGTCATCGCTTCAATCAACGTAACGGTCCTTGTCCTTGTTGGGGTTGTCTGGTGCGGCCCAGCCCTCGCTCGATCATCGACATTGCGTTCAACCTCATATCTGTCAGTCACCAAGGACAAAGAGTCCCTTGAAATCATCAAAAATCATTTAGAAACGATGTAAGGCGCCTTGAGAGCCGAGATTAATGCGCTGGACTGATGCTCGTACGACAGGTTACCAGAAATTTCGCACAACCCAGAAGATGAGAACGAGTCACAGGAACATACCCCACATAGTTCAAAGCCCGAGCCTTCTCTATCACCGCGGTCAAAGATAGCCGAACCCGCCGAAGTGTGGCAATCCGAGTACAACGAGACACTCGAATTTCGTGGGTTGAAAGCTTTCAACGATGGTAGTGAGCCTGGCGTGTCATCTGCGAACCATGGATACGTCGGCATGGGTCTGTGTGCTGTCGAAAGCTGGGACTACGACATTGAAGAGATGGAGCGTTATGATTATAACACTGTGCCAGGGTACGGTGCCTTGTCACCCGGCCCAATGGACTACCAGACCGATCAGGGCGATGGTTCAATGAATGTCTCTCACGCCTCTCTGGAGTCAACCACCAGATCCACACCGTATCAACAAGGAATTAAAAGACCCACAAAGCCCTTCAAGGAGATTGGTGCACAATTTGAGCTAGGAAGCCCGACTGATCTTGGAATGTCGACGAACTGTATGAGCATTCCACTACCTCGTGTCGTCGTTTCGAGTGTCGACAATGAAAGTATGGGAGGTGGGAAAAAGTCCGGCGTACCTCAATTGTACGGCAATACATTGTCGACCGCAACTCCATTCGACGCAAAGTGGAACCTTGGCCAGAGTCTACACATGTCCGTAGCTTCAAGTGGAAGCAACAGCCAACTTCCAGATGTAAAGTGGAACATTCCAAACAACTACGAGATTGCTACGCAAGATCGACAACCTCCGGACACGGTGCTCGGTTGCATTGAACCCCAGCTTGGAACGCTCGCAGTGGAAAGTGTGAACGCCTTCCATGCTGATGCTGATTCAACCACAGCTAATGTTGCTGCTGTGTCTAACACCGACGAAAGCTTTGGTGTTAAAAGGCGTCCGCTTCCAAGAAACCCCTCTACGCTCCAGATACCAACCAAAACGCCACCAGGATCACAGCATTGGCAAAGCCCGTCCGGCAGCACCCTACCCCACTCAACGTTCCAGAATAGCATACAAACCCCAATGTATCCTACACCACCGTCGTCCTTTAGGGGGATAGCCGAGTACCATCAACTCGACAATATCTATGGCGGAGATGATCCAACCTCCACCCCAGCCACACCGCTTTGCGTCACTCCAACCGAGCTTTCACCTTCCGTTTCACCCTCGCCATCCTACCTGTCTGATGCGGACGACGGCGTCACCTGCTGTTCAATATGTCCCTATCGAATTTTTACAGGCACACCCGTAGCACAGAAGAACAGCCTACAGCGGCACATGCGTGACAATCATGACGGGAAGCCACGGCTCGAGTGTCTCGTGCGTGGATGCACCGTTTCCTTTGCTCCTGGTCGCAAGGACAATCTGAAAAAGCACATCAGAGCTACGCACCCAGACTACCCTTTGCCTGCTACATCAACGAAAAGGAAGCGAAAAGCTGATAGTGATTTTGAGTCCTAGTGAGCTGATGTTCGTATATTGGAATATGCAGAAGAGACCACACTACACCCTGTCTGTTTTATATGGTATGATGTCTACGGATTGATTGGGGCATGATTCATGTCTTTGAGATTTGAGCGGTGATACCCCTGACTGCTATATTGTAATAGATGTTCGATGCTACATCGTTACACATCAGCAATGTACGCATTAGTTCTATCATCATGGTGCAAGCAATTACCGACCGATAGCTCTGCGCACTCCCCCTCTTCTAACATGACGATAGTAGTATAATCACCTCGCAAGTTGCTCCTTTCAATCCTCACAAAACCGGCCGATTACCAGGATGACTGGACTCGTTGACTCAGGCAGAGGACTGGGAGGACTGACAGGACTCGGAGGACTCGGAGGACTGGAGCAGTGGCTATAAAGCTGCTGGACTGCCAGCCGAGGAAGTCCGTTCATCACTACGGACCATCATTCGATCTAGAGTAGTCCACCTCAACATTTTCGCTCTGATTCGGTCCTCAGCTATCACTACCAACGGACCTATCTCTTGCCCCAAGGACTAGCGACACCACCAGCACATCACATCTCCCTTTGCCAGGGTCTACTCTGCCACACACCGCCACCGCACCAATTTGATAAAAGAACAAAGCAATCATGCCGTTCGTCTCTCTTATCCCGTTTCCTCTTTCATGGATTCAGCTAACGTACATTACCCCAAAACAGGTGGCTGGGCAAAGAACCCGAGAAGCTACCCAAGCTATCCGCCGATACCCTCGCGCGCTATGGAGGGCAAAAGCATTCAGCGCTAGATGATTGGTACAGGACACCGCAGACGCATGAGCAGTTGGCGGTGAATGGGAGCTCGGCAAGGTCGGATCGCACGTGGGAACGGGAGCGGGAGATGGAGTGGCGCAGGGCGGAGGAGAGGAGGAGGAGGTGATGGTGGGTATGGGCATGGGGGCGTCGTGGGAGGGATTGCAAGGGTTGGGATGAATGATGATTGGGAGATAGACGATAAAGCCTCACGGCTGGGAGGCGGTTTGCGCAGATAGAGGATTACCCTGTCAATGCACGTTTGCTTGATCTGACTTGGAATCTGCCCGCTCAGTTTGATGATGTTAACTTCAATGCGTCGTTCGAGACTCCGTTGATTGCTATGGGCTCTGCATCTGTTGTTTGGTGCCGGCCTGGCTTGCCAATAAGGATCATCAATCCATGCCACCCAATCAGAAACAGATACAGAGAACTGCGCGTCACTCGCCCCTCGCTCCTAGCGAAAACCGGGTTCCACGTCACGGTCCACAGAAGCCAAAATCAACCTTGGCCTCTTGCACGGACCATTCACGGGGGAAAGGGCGGAAGAGGGGGTGGCAAACGGTGCACGTGGCTGTCGCGTGGATGTCCTGCAGGCTTAAATATAAAGTGGGAGGGTTGGATAAGCACGCTGAATCCTTCTGGCTACCATCCTTGAAACCTCTAGGGTATCAGCTCCATGCTGCCGATTTCTTTGTCGAGGCTCTGAATTCCGTGTCTTTTGGTCTGTCTGCCTCCAGCCTCGTGATATGGTTGGCCGGCTTTCGGAGTTCGGCAAATTTGGGAGGCCCGGTTGCGCTATTCGGGGCATGACAAGGGGTCTGGGGTCCTCGAAAGGACTTCACTAGTGGGCGGAATGACGTGGGTTCGAAAAGCTCAAGGCTGCATGAAAGGCTTGACGAAGGGTTTCGCGCCTAATGCAGGGACCTGCCGCGATGAAGGGTCGTGTTTCTGCGCTACCCGGGATGATGAATTCTAAGGAGCTTGGGACGCTTGGTGCTACCGTGGATTATGTGGGACCCCGTGCAATCGCAGGATTGGTTGACGGCATGGAAGCTCGGGCCAAGGTCGAGATGTGGATGGACCGATACGACAAGACTTCTTGTGAGGGTAGCAAAGAAGCACAGAAGAACTTGTAGTTTTTAGTCATTGTCACTCCACACAAGAACCCCTGCTGTATCTGGATGTAGCATTCTCCGGTCACCGATAAACTGAGTTGCTGACAATAGGAGGGAAAAGGCGCAAGAACATTTCAACAGCGGCTGAGAGACCCAGACGGCGTTTTATTATATCGCGCTCTGCTCTGGAAATCGGTCGTAAAAGATCATCCATTGACTTGTTGGTAGTGTGGGAACACGGCGGAGACACACGAGCAGGTGGCGCTTGGATGGGGAACGATGAGGCCAGCGAGGCCCTATGAGTATGGGACCGACCTAACGGTTTCGCTCTGCATTTTAGGGCATTGGATTTGTGACGATGCCGTATGACACATGCGAAGAATGCCGAATCTGAGCAGTCGGATGTCAAAATGTACGCCACTTCGAGTATGCAAGATAGTAAATTACTTCTCATTTCTTTCGCGCTCACAGTAGTGGTCAAAGGCTGATCGTAGGGAGTCTTGATCTTGTTGACGTGCCTTTTGCACTTCAAGAGCCTTGAGATATAGAGACTAGGCTAGTCTCCGCGAAGAACAAATCGAAGGGAGTTGCAAGCCTAAGTATCAAGGAGAGACGCCGGCGTCGTTGGCGCGGTCTTAGCGTAGCCCTATGGGTTGGCGGTCAAGGCTTTTCACCTCTCCACAAATGACGCCGACAAGCCCAACGAGTATATTGAATGGTGCTCCTTGGGATATAGGATATGATTGGTGACGCAGACACAAAAAAATTGGTTGCAACCTGAGAAGCCGGGCGTTGGCGCGGTCTTAGCGTAGCCCTACCCTTTTCACCTCCCACAAATGACGCCCCATGCGATATAGGTATGATTCGGTGAGCACTCTTGCCGGGACCATCTGGCCGGGTCTGGTATACAGCATTTGCACGCGTCCCATCACTTCAAGCAGGCTCAGAGGCTCGCTACCATCAGGGAATCAACCTGTAGAGCGGCAGTCATTTCCGATGGACAACTGCTGTCGATTCGTACCGACAGATGTACGTAGATCACCCTTGCTCTTTGTTTTTCCGCCGCACGTTGTGTCTCCCCTGAAGCAGCCTTCAGTGCGTCTTCACGTGTAGTATTTCTTGGATCAAGTCTTTCCTTTTTTGAAAAGTCAGGCGGTAAAGGGTGGTGCCGAAGTCGCTCCAGCCGTTATCTCAGGCGGTAAGGCAACGTTATGAGGAAAAAGAGATCAGATCGATGTTGAGGTCGTCTTGTTCTCCGAAAGGAGGTTGATCTTGCGATGGAAAGGTGTTGAGGGTAAGGATCGTGGCTGCAGTGGCGTATCATGAAGCTGAGACGTTGGAGCAGCTGGTTGTGCGGATTGTCATTCTCGGTACCGGCACAAAAAAAGTTGCTTCTTGAACCAACATTGGCATTGAAAATCAGGGCTCTTGAAGAACGCTCTACCTATTGTTTGGGGCGCAGAATGTTCTTGAAGCAGCCGCGGGCAGCTCCCCGCCTCTTTGTAAGCCCCGCAGAGCAGGAAGACGAGTATGGGCGGTTCGCTGCAGCGCTAATGCGGAAACACGTTTGTCGCAATCGTGAGGGGCGACGACTGCAACCCCTCATCACTCCATCACCAAGATGGGAAGCGATGAGTGCATGAAGGCAGGCTGAAGTTCTGGGTAGCCAATTGATTATCTGTGCGGCACCTAGCCTTGTTGAAAGCGCTTTTGGCTGCAGGAAGGTGGGCAGCTGCCTCAAACTGCTCCGATGCTGGGGTTACAATAGGGGTGATGGCCCCTCAATTTCCTGGAAGATATTTCTCTCTTCATCATCTGTGCATTTTGATGGTAGCATCAATCAGACTGTGATACTAGAACTCTTCAGTCCCCAAAGACGCTTTCTGTCCTTCGATGGACATCTGCCCACATTGCCGAACCTTCTCCACGCGATTTGGTAAGATCCTACGATTTTGACTCAAATAATGGCTTTTCAATTTCCGGCGCCACTGCTAGTATGGAATTCTTTGCAACGGTTCTCCTTGGCTTCACCGTCTGCCTCAATACGTTCCTTGGTCCATATGCTTGCGCTCGTCGGCTGTCGGGCCTGTCATCCGCTCGTTCACATGACCTTCTTGTCAATCGTATCGCCTTTCGATTGGTAGCCTCGCTTCGCTCGGGACCGATGCCGAGGACCCTTGGGCACCACGATATTGTTCAACCCTGAAATGCGCCTAGCATGAACCTGACATGAGGAAGAGGCCTAACCCTGAGGCCACTGGACTGATGCTCCACGCTGGGGCAAGGACCTGCATCGCCCTGACGTGCGCCAGTTGCATGGAGGCAGATCTGTACGTCCATACTTCTACACTCTCTTTTCATGTCTACGCTCGAATCGGACTGACCGATCCTGTAGCAGACATACCCTCTGTGAAGCAGGTCTCGTGGGCTCCCTCACATTAGCCCTCTACCGTGAACGAATGTAACGACCGAGGCTTACAAGACTTTTGTCTAATCTTTTGCGATTCCAGAATCCCATTGCCATCGGACTACGAGACTGCCCATACTATCACTGCTCTTAACTGTCTCACTTGAGAGTAGCAGAGGCTAGTGAGCTTCAGCCAATCACTTCGTCGACATTCAGTCCTCCCTGCTAGGATAGAATACCGTCGTTCCAACCTTTGCCCACCGTAAAACAAGGCAGCCAACCAGCACCTAGCGTCACAACGGAACGACTCCAGGCATTCCATCTTGAACCTGAATTCTGTTCAGTCACACACCAAGACACGGATTCGCCAAAGGGATTGTCGCTTTCACTTGTCAGTCAATTGAGCAAGCCGACAGCTGCCACTCCTAGTCTACTTCCGCTCATCTCCCACAGCTACTCGGTGCTTGCAAGCCTGCTCGAAACCGCTTTTAAGTCTTCCCAGTACCTCAATACAGTACAACTGTCCGTCTAGGTCCATCCTTTAACAACATGTTGCATTACAGTTCATTGCTATCTGTCACAATGAGTCCTAGTTGGAAAAAAATCATTTGGCTGATCTACAGTCTGAGTACTTAGCCAAATCTCACAACTCGAGAGCGACACTGAATTTTGAACCATAGCTTGCTCTATGATGACGACGAACCCTTAGCCATGACGTTCAACGAACGCAGCACCCATTTATCTCCAGTACACAATGCTCCCCTGTTGCCTCCAGGTCCAGAGGCCTATCCTCGTGAACTTTCCCCAATCACGGACCTAATTTCAACGGACACTGGGAGACAGAAGACTTCGGTGAATCATTGGAAAGTCTCAACCTCAGTGGCAATGAAGGCTTGTCCAACAGCGACATCTCTGATAGCACCTCTGGAAGAACCAACACCATCGGCATGGATGCTAATTCGTCACAATGTGTACCTGAGACGATCAGTTCTACGTTGAGCCCTGGATTTACCAATAATCGCATTTGTGAGTGTCCACCCACTCTTTTTCTCCAAATTCAAGCTTTCTGACAAGAGCACAGATCGAGCGCAGACCATTCATACTGCTTCCCAGACTTCCAACGCCGCCGAGTCCTCCTCATCTTGGAGGCAACCAGGTCATTGGTCTGAAGGAAGCTCTACCAATCTACAGCCTCCCATCTGGACTCCCCACAAGTCCTCCGCTACCACTTACAGCCAGTACTCCGAGAGCGCAGGGGGGATCGATACTTCAACACCTTGTGTAGAAGATTACGATTTGCGGCCAACGCCTGATGACAATGCTGCATCTATGCAAAGCTACAATGATCCACGAACCGGTATCTGGGCTCAAGAGGAGCCAACGATGGGCATGCGCCGTGGAAGTGGCATTAACTCCACGGTAACACGCCTACTACCACAAAACCTACAAGAAGTCTTCGCCAATGCCGACGCCGCAACACCTTTCGGTACCGAGTCTCAGTCTGACGAATGTGCTCTGTTTTTGAACGCGGCGTCTGGCGCTGATGGAGGAACAGGAATGGCAGCTTCTTCATTTTCACCGCTGTCAACAACTGGAGGTCCAGTACCACAAATTTTTCGACTTCCATCCAGTGGCCAATCAGGAGTCATGATCGTGATCAATGGTACAATGTACCTTGCAGATACCTCGGTTCAACGAACCCCAGGAGTCGAGTACTCTTTCCTCCCGCCCGGCAGCGACCTAAAATCTTCACCAAACATGGCACCTAGAATCCTGTTGGACAATCCACCCCTTCCAACCACGACCTTGCCACCTACTTTTACCATCAACCCTCCCGCCCCAGCTCCTTCCCCATCAGTCTCTGCTGATACATCAACTGCTGGCGTCGCAACGTGCACGTTTAGAGGGTGTGGAGCAAAATTCCACGGGGGCTCGAAAAAGGACTCGCTACGACGACACAAGCGTAATCGCCATGGTAACAAAACAAAACCCACATGTCCAGAATGCCACTTGGTCATCCAATCAGGTCGTCCAGACAATTTGATAAGGCATATCTTACGTCAACACTCAGGTCAGCCGCTGGCCGCATCGCTCAAGGTACGGACGAAGTAAACGGGCTCCAGAACCGCGGCTTCAAAAACCATGTCGCGAGCGACTTGTCACACGAACCCGCCGAGTGCCTCGTCTGTCACGCGGAAAGAAGATTAGGACTTACGGATTTTTTTATCATTCTCATTGCAACCTGTCCTTTGGGACTTGGTTCGGTGTTGCACATGAGAGATCTTACGGTGGCGGCCTCGGCGCGGTCAGAGCATCAGCAGCGTTCCAGCACTTGTTTTCACATAGCATGACACCCAACAGTCGACAATCTCTAGCAAGTGATGTTGATAGACTCTGATCACAAATCATACAATGAATCCTTTCACTTCGCTGTGCAAAATACTTCATCGTTTCTGCCATCTATACAGCACGCTGACTCTAGGGATCATAGGCTTGCCTTGAAGATCTCTGTCAGGAGGACTTCCCCATGACCCACTGAAGGACTGGCTCTGAATACCTCTTTAGGGGAATTGCCCTGGACCCGTCGTGAGGACTGTTGAGAGGAACGTCTCAGGGAGGACTGCGACATAAAAAACAACAATGTTTGCAGTCTTATTCGACTATTCTTCTACTTCAACGTCTACAAAGACCCGTGAACATCGTTCATCAGCATCCTCTACCAATTTTTGCCAGGTATCTTATATCCTCCACCCTCAATCCATCCCTCTGTCGTCTGAGCACAACACCAATGCAAGAATTACCCGAAATGCCGCATGTCTTTCCCACCTCCCCTCTTTCCCAACACTTACCCCTGCTTATTATCACTATCTTCTCTAGATACCTCTACGATCCCAACCAGCAATAGCCCTATCGCCTAGTGGCCGATGTACTTTCACGAAGTGACCTTGGGGAGGCACTCTGCAGTGGAGCAGTGGTATCGACAGCCGGAGACATTTGAGCAGCTGGCGGTCCAGGGAATAACTTTCCGGGCGTACTTTAGATCAGAGTGGTAACGGGAGCGGGAGTGGGGTAGTGCGGATGAGAGGTGGTGGAGGAGGTGATTTGGAAGGGCGCTTGGGTGATGGGTTTGGGATGGGCGAGAAAGGAAATAGATGGGGGCTCTCGGCCTGAAGGTATTTAAAAAAAAGAAGAAGTGTAAGAATCATACAACTTTAACGGATGTTATGACCGAGTTGAAGCCGGAAGAATTGGGTGTTTGGCACTTTCATTGATATCATCGAATGTCCGCCCACAACAGGAAAGGCTACAGGGATTGTCATTGATGGACTCCTAGGGGCCTGTTTTCAGAGTGCATTGTCTGGAAGGAGATTGCAATGATTTGCGCAATGACTATTCTAGCAGTGTCATAGAAGACAGAGGTGCTGAATTGTCGTGCACGGGATGATTAGGATCTGTCTGTCTGTCTATTGATGCGTTTGACTGAACACAGTGAAATATACGCTGTCTTGAACTTGCTGGGATTTGCCGTAGATTAGCCGATTGTGCGATTGCGCGAGGCTGCGAGCACGGTGGTGACGGTATGGGAGGACTCAGGCGACGACGTTTTAATTGGGACACTTAGCCTAGACTTCGGGAGAAGCGCGCCCTTCTCTCATTCTAAATAACTTCTCGAACAAACCCTCTATAATAATATTTCTGGTACAGAAACTCTTCTCCTGGTATCTTCTTAATAGCTCCTATAAGCCGAAATTAGTCCCTTCAACGTCCCATCGTTGTCAAACTGTGAAAGTGGTGGTCTTGAGCGACCTTACTTAGAGTAGGCTAAGTGTCCCAATATTAAAAACTTTCGGCCTGAGTAAGCGTTCATTGGATTTTCGTAAAAAAATTGCTGTCGCTTCGGAACAACTTTAAGCTTCCTCCGCCATCCAAACGACAACAAAGTCAACCTCGCGACAATAACACCGGTCTTCGCGAACTAAATTGATGTTGCGGCACTTCGGTAACACTGATATCACATCCCAATCTTTCAACAAGACAACTTGTGGTCTTGATATTGACATTGCGCAGCTAAGATGGGGATGCTGTGACGTAGGAGAGAGCTCAGACGCTGCGTTTCAACATTGTCAAAACCGAATAGGAGCAGCAACGAAAGGAGAGCGAGGTCATTTGTCAGAGACGAGCAAGCTCCGGAACACCCATCTCAAAGATGTCTGGATGAAGAGGGCAGAGGAAAAAAGACAATCGCGGTGCGAGTTGGGCGTAGTGGCAGCTCAACTTTGGAGGAGTACCACCACCACTGTCATACGGGCCACCGACTCGCCACTGCCTATCGCAAAACACCATCACTTTAAAATGTGTCATCCTGCACTGATATCCGAGTTGATGACGACAGTGCCCTTCTCACACGATAAAAAGACTAGCGCTGAGCGCCAAGCCTTCCATTCGACATCCCTTCAAGACTTATGCTCATTGCTCGTTACACATCTGTCCCTCTCACACTTTCTCCTTCTTGTTCAGCCTCTTGTGTTCTCTTCTCCTCTGTCATCACCATCCACCTTCTCCTCGATCTCTTCCAGAAAGCCCAGAGTCTTGGCAAAAGTTCGCGACGTCTTTTCTCCTACTACCAGCTGCTCGTGTGTCTCTTGCGTCTTATACCACTCATCTAGCTGGGACCCCTTAGGCTCCGTATTGGCCGGAGAGGCTTTGGTCGTCTGCCGAGGAGGTTCGTTGCTTTCCCTATGAAGAACATGAGCAGTCAGTCAAGATGTAGGACTAGATGGGATTTTGTGGGGACAAACGGCATGTTCGTCTCGTTTTGCAAGACGGCCTTGCGATAAGTTGCGGGGCTGACGGGCTCAACGGGGCTCTTCGAGCGCTCAGAGAAGGTAACGAGCGGCACTGAAAGGATTGCTGAAGCTTGCGGTAAATGGGTTGTCTCAGAATTCAATTGTATTTTCGTTCGCAGTGGAAGCAGTGGTGGGACAATGATGATAGTGTGAGCGTTTGAGTAGGTTCGCAATTTCCCAGGAATGGGATTCGCACCAGCCGCTACGACGACGCATTACAGCCGAGAGTACAGCCAAGAATTTGAGCAGCGACCAACCACCAACCATGAATTTGACGCTGACTACGATATCTATGATTATAGTCATCCTGTACTATTATGTCGAAGCTGCTTTCCAATTGTACCGGAAATTACAAGATATGTTACGGTGGCTTACGGCTTGCATCCCTTTGGACCGTAAACGCCAAGAAATTTCCATACGGTCTACGCGCTATCAAAAAGTTCAGAGGATATGAGAGGCCGCAATGCCCGCCAAGACTGACCTAGCGGAGGCGCCCCCGAACATCCCGGAGTGAGCCCGATCTTCAAGGCTGTGCTTAAGTCCACTCAACACAAAAATGATTCAACTTACTAGACATAGATGGTTGGAATAGAACACGACGTTAATCTTTCTAGGTATTGAGGAGTTGAAAACCAAATGATTCAGAGGTGTCGCAGACAATGATTCAGTGATGGATAGCGCAATCGATGTGTCCATAATAATACTCGAGTCTGAAAACCGAACAAGCAACTACCTTTACCAGGAATCGTTCGAAAGTGTATCGAACCTTGTTGGCATGGTATTTTATATTGAGAAGTAGTATAATCAAACGGAAATCGCAGTAATCGAACACTGACCTTACCTGACAGTGTTATGCGGCCCCTCCTGCATTCTAGTACTGAATGTGATTGTGTGCAAGCAACTGCATTCCGCGCACATCGGACAGCCTTTCGGCCTCCAGAACCTTCTTTCCGTCCCGGCGATCTGGATGTGCCCCACCAAAGCACAAGGGCAGAAAGGGACCACCACACGATACCATATGCAGGTCCCTCTTCTGGCCGCGTCAGACTGGTCAGACTTGCATCATGCCGTGTGGCACTACTGCAACAGCTGCATTGCTTGTTGCACCAGCTGATTTCCTGGGACATGTCTCCGGCCAAGGCAGTATGCTCCTCCACATGTCCATAGCCCGATCTGTAGCCCAGTACAAAACATCCTTCTAGTAGAGAGGACATCCGCGCCGGAAGCGGCCCGAGATAGCACTTTATCAACCTTTCATGACTTCACAACACACCACATTTACAATAGCCGATGCTAGGCCGCATGGATGCAGCATGACGCATCTCACATGTTCAGCGCAAATGACCTGACCCCCTCTGGCCAATGAACACGCCTCATGGAGACAGACTTCGCATCTTGCGTGACATACGGTGGGCCCTTGCAGCCGATTTCAAAGAGACTGATGTCGCTAGATTTGGAACTTCGGCTAGTGTGATTGGTGAAGATTCCTGGGAGAATAGGTGAAATTTGTTAATTGGATTATTGGTTCACGATCTTCACCGTCTCATCATACACCCTTTTTACCTAGAAAAGTTCTATTCGCTGCAGGTTTGATTGGACACTTCGATCATCCACTAATCTTGCGATGCGCCAACTCCTCCTATGGGCCCGCATCTTCGAAAAGGCCTGATCACCTGGTCCGATCGATATTTCGCTAGATCATTATCGTGGCTAGGGCGGACATATCAATTATTCAAGCATGCACAGGCTGACCACCCGCACACTGTAGGTTGATACGTCATGTCGGGCTCGTGCCGTAGCTTATCGACGCCCTCATTGAGGCATGTGGAGAGGGCTCTACACAAGCTACTGTCAGTAAAAGAGGAAGCTAGATTCGCAACAGCGTCTCTTGTGCATCACTGAAATGCCTTCTCTTCAGCAGATAACAGCAGTTCCCAGTTGATGCGTTTTGCCAATTCAGGTCATCGTTGCTCCTTTTCCGGGTATCTCCCGATTAGGAATGGGGTCGCGAGAGCTATCGGAAGCCATCGTGCTGCCTCTTATCCGGCTTCCATGACACGCATGCTCCGCGAAATAGGTTTATACAGGACTAGTGTCTTTGTTCGCCACAGCATGACTGATGGCTAGTGAGAGGAGGCACAGCATACATATGGCAATATAGCCCAGATTGCCATGTTGGAAGAGCTTGAGATAGGTGGTATTCCTCCTGTTTCTTGCTCCCTATTCTTGTTCCTCTCGTTACAAGACGAGGTTTCGAACCTTTTACCACCCGCCCACGCCTTCTGTTTTCAGCGCTTTCATGTATCGAAACTCCAGATCTTCTATCTTACATAGAGGGACTCTTCCTAGGGCTGAGCTGCATTGTGAGCCGCTGTCTAGTCGCTTCTGGGCCTTATGATCCAGCCAATCATCCTTTCAGAACCCATTTGTGCGTGTAGTTTTCGTGGGGTTATCAAGCGAGACGGCACTTGCATGCAGCATGCATGATCTTTCAAAGAGCCAATCAAGTCTTTGATTCGTATCAGACCGAGTCCAGATTCGGAAGTCTGGAGTGGAGGCTTTTCCGACGCGAACAGTCTCGCAAGAACGATCAAATGAGCGTGCGAATAATCAATCGAGGTGGCCGATTGGTTGGTATGCCCAAAATCGGCCATTCTGAAAAGGCTCTGCAGAATCAGGCAACCCCCACTCGTCGCTAACTGGGCCTTTCCCAAAAAGGATGTACCTTACTTACAGCTCTCAGACTGTCATCATCGTGCGCAATCAGTTGCCCGAATTCTCCGTCACCGGGAACGGGAAATCTAAACGCCGACTCCCGCCAAGCTTTTCCGCTGGCTGGCGCTGTAGGGCTGGATTTTTGGTTTTTTTTACCGACGACGCGTCTGCCGCGCCCTCGGGGTGCGCTATCCGGATAGTCCCGGGGATGGGTGTGATTTACTTCGGGCTGGATTAACACCCTCTGATATGGACTCCTTGCCACGCGCGGTCGATTCGGTCTTCTCGCAGCATCAGCTTTCATACCTCCTCAGCTGGAGTCAGGCCAAATCTTGCTGTGCTGTGGCCGAGTCCATCAGATGCTGTGTATGAGGTGATCTGCACACATGGTCTGACATCAATTTGGAACTGTGTGTCTAAAGTTGTTGTCACCGCTGGCGTCATATCAATATTAAGCCATCCATGGGCCATGCGCTATCCATTATTTACCACAGCTGGGTAAGAATTCTTCCCAAAAGCGTTCCTTGACTCCGTTTTATTATTTAAACCACAGTTGACACCCACTCCGCGTTCCCTTCCCCTTTTCTATCCCGCCATCTCCGTTCCGCATCCAGCGCCGTATTTCCTCTTTCTCATTGCCGCGGTTTCCTGGATGTTCTCTCATCTGAACTCCCTGTCGATCTTCGTCTCCATCTCCTCGAGGAATCGCATCGTCGTCACGAAGGATCGAGATGTCTTTTGTCCAACCATCAGTTGCTCATGCGTCTCTGTCTTATTGAGCCAGGACTGCAGCTGGGGTTTCTCGGGCTTTGCGGAGCGTGCAGCGGTATAGGAGGGTTGTTGAGGATGCTCTGTGCTATTCCTGGCCAAATATCATTCGTCAGTCTATTTCGGTAGAAAGAAATGTTGCGATGACGAACGGCATTGCGAGTTTTTTTTTTAAGTGGCTGTGATGAGCTGTACGAGGCTAATGGCCTAGTAATAGTCCTGTGGTGGACTGTCAACGCGGAGGCAACAGATGGCAGCGACGAGGTACTGAGAGTCAGTAGTTGTATTCGGGATTCGACTCAGGCCAACGTTGATCGCTTCGTTGATGGCAGTGAGAACACTGGAGTCATCTTCAGAGGTCGAATCAGTTGGGGCGGGTTTGAGATATACCACAAAGGCTGACACAAATAAACAATGCTGGTGCATGCTCCATGACGTCTCCCCTCTAACATCCTACAGCTCCAATCACGTCTTGGCCCACCTCGCAGTTTCCATGGGGGTGTCACAGAAACCATGCTGAATCCGTGTTCCTCAGCTTTGGGGAATCCGTATTCCTTCGATCCTGAGAGATCCGTGTGTCTCGTTTCTGAGGGACCCGTGTCCTTCAATCCTGAGCCGTGTTGCCCGATGCATGACCGTTGGCGCAGAATCCAATAAACTGTCCTTACTAGCAAAACGAGGTAACCTCCACCAATCATCAGACAGTTTCCGTGCAGGTCTTTTGCCTTAAAAGCTAATCTGTCCTGCAAGCTTACCCTTTCTGCCATCCCGTGCCGGCCGCAATCTGCGGCAGATGATGTGTGGGATCTCAGGGGCCGCCATTGATGCTCGCTTCGGCTTTAGCGTCACGACTGGGTGCATGATGAGTGCATGATGGATGTGGTGCGTCCATGGGGGTGTACGGGGGGCGGACGGGCATCGACATAGGAATGGAGGATGGAACGATAGCCGTGCCAGTTGCAGTCGTGTTGGAAGTGTGTTGGACTTTTGATTAGATCAAGAGATAGCGTTGCACGGTAGCAGCCTTGTTCGTGCATTGGTATGTCGTGCAGCAAAGTTCGTGCATGGAGGGTGTTAGATGCTTCGATATCAGCGGCGTTTGATTGGCGCCTGGCAGCGAGCGATGACCCTACCGGTACTCCAAAAAGTAAAGTCCCACGATGCCGGAGCAGCTGCTCGGTTCGGTCATCCTTGGCGAAAACCGTTGCTACGAATCGCGAATTTGTTGACCATTCCTTCTCGGTTCGCTTAGATGCCAGTCCCGAAAATGGCAAAAGGGTGCGGCGGCGCAGGACCTTACTGCGTTTATGGTTCGTGGTACAGACGCTAATGTCTCGTACCTCGGAGTAATGGGCAGAAGCAGTAGCCGTAGCACGACGCGGGGAAAAGGATGATGTTTGTTTGAAAGCTGAAGGACGCTAGTTTTGGACTGGGGTAAGCGTATACGGATTGCGATATCATTCCTTCTGCTAACGAGTTTCCAACGTCACGGTGCTTTCGCAAAAAGGTTGTAGGAGCCAGTTTTCTTCTGCCCTGCCGCGGCGTAAAATCCGATTAGCCTCGGTAAGGACTCCCGGCAGCGAGATTTGCGCAGGCAAGCGATTCGCTCATGCGACTCCTCCTCGTGTCTTGTCCATGCATGTGCGTCTATTTTAAGAATTCGGCCGGATTGCGCTGGCGTCTCTGCTTGCTCGTATCTGCTACGGTTCCTCGCGGACGATAACACTGATCACCAGGTGATGCAAGTCCATGGATGAAGGTTTTCGCGAACCCGAAATGGCGGACGACGACGCCGGTCTAACCAACCGTCCTGGCCTCTTGAAGCGTGCATCGCGGTCGTAGCGATCCGCCGTTGACTTGAGTTTGCTGCACGATGTTCGTTCTGTGGATCATCTACCTGGGAAGTTATGCGGGGAAAGTTGAGGATGTCGCCGCTACTGGTGCGGGTGTTGGGCCATGACCAGGGCGGTGCTAAATGCCACTCCACCACGGGAGCTCCCGGGTCGAAAATTGACAATTACCAGGGATCAATCCTGGTGCCGATGGCGGGAGCTGCCTTGCCCCGACGCCCTAAGTATCGTTGCTGGGAAATCGCTAACGCTCACGGGAGCGAGGCCGTTCCCGGTAACGTCGGGTCTTTTTGATACTCGTGCCAATTAGGCTGGAGACCTCATAATGATAAGTGGGTGGTCGTTGCTTGCGAAACGACGATTTGATTACGTGCACGGAGCGTTTCGTTTCACGCTGTTCTAAAACTTGATCATTGCTGTGGGTACCGGGCGTGATGCATTCTTGATTTTGTAGCTATACGAGCTTTTGATTCTCAAGAGGACTGTCTGTATTGAAAACGATCGGATTTTTGCAAAGATAAACGCGCCTGATCTCCACCCTCGCAAACAATAAGCAGTGCATCCATAAGTCCGTCCCAGTCATCATTTCATGCTTTCAATCTGATCCTCATTTCGACATCTTTCCTTTCGCGTTCAAAGACAAAAACAAGTAAAAGAAAGTCGTTGCGCTCATGAATTCGCTACTCTCATCTGATCCTCCATTCGGACTCTAAGCCTTCCGTTTAGACTCCTCTCTCCCTCCTCCATTTCTCGATCCGAGCTTCTTGTCGGCTTCATTCACACCACGCTGGTAATGCTTCGCCTCCATCTCCGCCTGTTGCGGCGTACGACCAGAGCTTCCTGTCGCAGCGAGCCTTTCGTAGCTCTCTGGATTCGAGACATAGTAATCAGTGGACGACCTCGATTTCTGACTTCTCTCAAGGGCTTGGAGCGTCTTTAGATCCAACTTGAGATGACGTTTCGGATTTTCCCGGACATTGGTCGCCAAAGGCTGCTTGGAAACGCGATAGGATTGCTGGCTCGACGACATGTTGGTTACGTTGTGGTTGCACGTGTGATGTGAAGCGGCAGGTACCTACGAGAGGCGAGTAGAGACTTGGGTGCTTCAAGGTAGGTGATGTGTCTTGTGTTGGTGTGACTCGTGTTTGTGTAACGACAGATTGCAATGATCAAAGGCACTGATGAAGTGACTCCTTGAACTCCAAATGGTCTTTGATGAGGGACTGAGAGAATGTGAAAGTGACAGAGGAACAAGAACTTATATGGAAAATCCGAGCAGTCCTCCTCCTTGCGACCAGCCCACCTTCCGAGTCACGAGCACTCCCACAGATCCTGGCGTATGGGTTCCCAAATCCCACAGATGCAGAAACCCTCCGAGCCCAACACCAGCGAGAATCCTTCGGCCATGCGGGCCCCCCCTTTGCTGGCTCCTTCCCCCATACCATTGGTCGAGTGGAGCTTGATCGTTAACAAAAGTCTTCCCCACGACAAGCTCATCCAGCTGCCTGGCCCAATCAGCGAAAGCATCCTCATGTCATCCGACTCCCCCTCAGCCATCGTAGCAGGACGCCAACACGGACCCAAATCCATCCGCGAATCATTTCACTTCCAAACCCATTCGGCTTCAATTCCTATTAGTTTGGCTCAACTGATCCTTGGAAGCGTTGCATTGCCTCAGGACAATGGCACCTTGGCTACCATCTACCCTGCATGTCGTATTCATGCACAGCCTCTGCTTCTTCAAATTCGCGGTCATTATGCTACTTCACCCGACTTTTGCAACGGTGCTAGGTTTTTGGAGCACTCTTCGCCTCATGTTGGGCGAAATTTGGGTTCTCCGGAAGAGAATGTGCCGGACGGGGAAGGTTTCTGATTACAGATTCGCCACCGCTGGGGGGAAGGGGGGAGGGAAGCCGTTGCTGGGGTCGAATGTGCACACCTTTCTGCATTTAGGCCGAGAAAACGGAAATGTTTATTTCTCGGAAATTCGTCTTCTAAATCTATGCAAAGGGGGTGTCACTATCATGAAATTCACCGCCAACTCCTCGCTGTCGTTAGAACGTAAATCCTAAACGCAAACTTTCGTCAATCATCGTCGTCCTTGCGTAGAGCATACACAATTCAAGCTTTCTCCATTTTCCTCATTTTGATATAGTCGTGGACCTGCTGATATGTAGAATACGGCGTTCCGTCCAACCCCGTCCTCCACACTTTCTTTACGCCTACTGGGAAATAAAATTCGGGGTGCAATTTTTTTCACGTGTCTCCTCAGGGATTCAGTTTTTTTCAAATCTTTTTTTCCGCAGATTTCACATACGGGCCGTGTGGGGCTGCTCATGCGTATCACGCACATGGTTTCGCATGTTCGATGCGTGGTACTTTCCTTTTCTGATTGTGGAGCATCCCTCATATGAACACTTCGAAAGGCTGTGTTCCAACTCGGGCCTGGTGACTGACACCGAACGGTTTGCACAGCGTTTCTTGGAGGGCGTGGCGTCCAGAGATTTGCCGCGCGCCTGGTAGGTGATTACTTGTGGCCGATTGGTCTTGAGAACTTCCCTGAACGCGAGGCTGGGAGAAGGACACTTGGCCAAGACAACGTAATTCGAAGTCAGGATCAGCGGACGCTTCTGTCATGGCGATGGAATCTGCAGATTTAACATTCCAAGGATAGCCTATTGATGCGGCGAAAATATGTGGCGGCGTGTGAGAGCCCGCGGCTCTTAGTGAGGCGTTGTAGCATGGATTATTGAAAGCCGATGGCTGATGGAGGTGAGTTGTCTCCGCGAATGCGACACTTGGTGAGATGGTCCAAGGGGTAGTAAGGCCTGCTGAAGAGTATTTCGTCGCAGGGTCTAGCCGTGTGGTTGATTCAAACGGCAGGACGGCCCGACCCGGGTGTATGATAGGTATGGAGACATCGCGGCATGGACCGCTCATGTGAGTTCTTGCAATCAAGTCTACAGGAGGCACAGGTCTGTTGATAGGCAGGCTCGGGATGAGAGGTAGAAGGTGGTTTTCGAAAACTGTCTGGCTAGCTGCGATGCTATTTGGGCAGTAGTGGTCTTCGCTTGATAGATTCTGAGAGAACATGGGGTCCATGAAAAAATTCCCCTCAAGAATTTGGCTGTCATCAAGCTCAAACTGACTTCCAATACTTGAGTAACCGTTCGAGGAAAAGTCCGTCGGTTGGCACTCTTCGAAAGACGCGTCAAGATACGGAGTGTACCATGGGGTAGCAAATTTCGCAGAGAGAGGACGGAAATGGCCGGGCACATTTGCGGGACTGTTGTACCCTGGCATAGCGAGGTTCTGCCTAATCTCAGCGGTGTAGTTATTCTGTGTCCCGCCCTTGATAGTGGAGTCATTGTATGGCATACCATCCCCACCTCGACGACTCTGAGCCTCCGAGGAACAACATGACTTGCTTTGTACATCGGTATTGTATTCGATCTCATATCCCTTCGTGACCGGATGACCAGTGTAGCTGCTCTCAGAGAGCGAAGGTGAAAAAACCGCAGCCGATAGAGGGTATGATGAGTCTCGATGCGATGAGTTAGGATGGTGAATAGATAGATGGTTGCCTGAGTAGTACTGAGGCAGTTCGCTGTTACAGTATTAGCAGTGGCCGTCACACAAGAACCTTTCAAGAGCCTACATGCAGGTCGTTGTATACGCTGATGCGTGGTAGTAACTTCCACGCATCGCGGACGAGGACGTCATGATCGAGGTCGAGGTGCTGGACAATGTCGTTATGGTTGCTTGTGAGACCTAGGTGGAATCTTGTTCTGAGTCGTAGTCGAAGTGACAAGTACTGGACGCCGAACTAAAGGCTGATGAGCATTAGTCATTAGTCTGCTCGAAGTGTTTTGAGAGATAAGGACCTTGGAGCCAGGTACTGGAAGACTTGAGGTCAGCTGGCATACACCGTGCAGAGAATGCCCAGAGACCGGCAGTGCAATAGGCGCATAACCCCTTTGAGCCGATAACGCAGCCCATTTGTTTTTCAAAAGGCGTAGAATATTCAGCTTAGAGCATTTGCAGTTGGCTCCAAGCTTTGTAGCACCAAACAGAAACAAATTGGATCCTGGCCACCGCAGATGTACAATGGTGAAGTAACATGACCTTCAGATGGGTAAAGTGGGTATGGGAGGGGTTTGATTGGTCGAGTGGCTCCGCAGCAAGAGCAGGTGCCTGGTTCAAGAAGTAAATAATCTGATTATTCTATTTTTGTCATTAGCTTCTGGCTCAGCAACAGTGAAGCGTGAAGTGTGGTAGCCATACAGCGACAAGGACTGGCCTATTTCCAAGGCTTGACATGATGCTGGCATCCGGTACGCTGGGATACGAGTCAGGCAGACATAGGTGGTGTCAAAATGTCACAAAGAAGCATAGTTCCCACCCATGCATGTGCGGATGCAGATTCGCATACAAAGGGCACACTAGCTCCGAAGAGATTGAAAACAGTGTGAGTCAACACTTTTGACTCCGATGCCAAGCGTAGCATTCACAGCCTCCTTCATTTGTCGGCGCGTGGTGCGACCGCAGCCAGAAGAGCAGCTTTGGTGTCCTCCTCTCACTTGGCAGTAGAACGAATTAAGTTTGCCTTCTAACATATAGGCAAAAGATTGCGATATCGTCAGCAAAGCACAAAACCAAGTAAGCTTTCGTTTGGCAAGAGAGGCAAGAATCTGCGGGCATCCTGCAGTAAGACAGTAACGCAAGTTTGCGACTGCACGGGAAGGAGAAATGATTACGGGTTCAGCAGTGAGCAACGACTCTTTGCCCTGCTATCTAGGTCTTTTCCACTGTAGTGATCAGGACGTAATTTCGAATTGTTCGTGACAACCGGAGGACATTTACCTTCTATACTTTTTGGTATTCGGGTTGGTACATCAACCTTCCTTCGAAATTCATTGGGTTGGACAAGGCTAGCTGCAGCAACTCGGATCATAGGCAGGTTAGAAATTTACCTAAATCTCGGTTTCCATGGTTTGTGTCTGGCAATAGATCAGCTTCAAAGGGCTATGCTCTCTTGAATGTAATCAGATTGGTAGCCATTTCGTTTCAGTAACATCATGCTGTCAGATGAATCCACTATTGAGGAGTGATAGAACGCGCGCGTATGCGCCATTCCGCCCGACTCTGCAGAATTCTATGCGGATTAGGCGCAAGACATTGTCGTGTAGATCATAATGCCTTTCTTCTCATCTTCACCAGACATGCTGACACCGTCTTACAGGAGGCATGTACGGTCTTGATTACCAGCCCGATCGAAATGTACGGCAAAGCTGTGCTTCAAAAGAAATGCGGGAACTACTACCCCAATTGAAAATTGAAGCGCTGAAGGGATACATGAAGTCCTGGTTCTTGTCAGAATGATACTGTTAACAATGCTCAAACCCCTGCACATGTTCATCTGCGGTCTATGCTGATTTTTCCGAGAGTATAGAGCGACACTGCTGTTCGGGACGAGCACACACGTTATACAAAATGCTCAACAGCTATTCAAACGTCGAAAGACCGCGTCTGCATGCCTAAGACATTCGGGACACAGCCATGTGGATACAACCGCAAGTCATCTGCATCCATCACCGGCTTGGACTGGATGAGCAACACCTTCTTTTGATGGAGAGACTCGAAGCCGATTTGAGGTTAGAAGCAGTGGCCTGCATGGTTGGAAGCATGGAAGAGGTTCCGCGACGCCGATACCGAGCGATCGTAGCTCAATAACATCCCACAATGCATCGAGAGACACAAAGAGCCTCTAGACACGTAGCTGTCAAAAATCAAGAGCTGGGTCATATTGGTACAGAGGAGTAGGAGACTTGAGCTACAAGATATAATGGGCAGACTGCGGTGCAAGATGACAACGTTGTATGAAGGTTGATGCCGCCGCCGCGGCGCGCTAGAAGTATGGGGGCCGGAACTGGGTGGCGTTGCCGGGCGATCTTCACCAACGACATTCCATCACGAGATCTCTTGGTACCATGTAAAGAACTTCACTACCCTCTTTCTCATACTCAGCCGCACAAAGACCGTCCGTTCGTGCAGCAGGCCCGACCTAGCTTTCTCCAATCGCGCAGTCAACTTTACGGACTATCATCCTGACCTGCCAACGGATGATTGATTTTTCCCGTAAGCACAGATAAGGCATTGGACGCAGGGTTCAGTCTGATGTGATAACTTTCCAGCCTTGTTATTTATGTTCTGTTACCATATTACAACTATGGTTGCGCTGACACTGCCGTTACCTGATGCCCAGAAGCACTAGATAAGCCCGAGGTGTCCCATTACACCACGTGCGATGTTGTCTGTAGACTCGTCCAGCATACACAGTCATCAAACACAAATCATTGCTCATGTCCTACGCATGAATCTTTCCTGCATCCGTGCAACCCATTGTCGTAGCAATTCCTTTGTTATCCATCTGAGAGGACTACGTTTCTCAACGCCGTTTATCCTTCTATTGTTACTGCTCACGTCTCCTGCCCTCTCATATCCTTTGGTCCGTCTATCTTCTTTTCAATGTCATCGAGAAACGCCTTCATCTTCGCCTCCGATCTTTCCCTCTCTTGTCCGATGGCGACCTGTTCATGGCTCTGCAGATCCTCCCTCCAACTTTCGAGTTGCGGTCTCGGTGAGTTGGGGCGGTTGGATTTCTCTTCGGATTTAGGAGGAGTCCTGGACGAAAAAGAGTATCGGTCAGTGAGCGTAATCCTTAGAAAACTATACAGGACTCGCACGTCATGGTCTTCCGGTTAGCCAACAACAATAGCCAGCGGCTGAGACGAAACGACGATGTTTGCTGACTGAGTACGGGCTGAGGCTGCCGTGTCTTTGCTACGGCGTTGTTTGAAAGTTCAAAGTCGTTGGATCATCGAGGACTTGCAAGGGCTCGTCAGCCTTGATGTCTGAGTGCTTGGACTACATGGCTTTTATAGGAAGGCAGCAGTTGCATCAACGCCTTCTTCGACCTGCTACGATCTAGCGTTTCAGCTCGTGCTAGCATTGTCAATCTGACTTTCTCCCAAACCTTAACCAAATCGCATGACGTCCTTCCTGGTAAGTGCCCACACTCTCTCCACACCATGCATCAGTTATTCCGACTGGCCAGGATCTGGACATTGCAGATACAGCGGGATGACATCCGGCAAATGTCAACGACGAAGATCTTACCCAGTGAATGTCCAGCGGTAGTACATTTTACAATGCAAGCTTACCAGGTACATGTCGAGTTCAAGGATGGCACCCTTTAATCCTGTGCGGATCATGAGACACGAGAAGATCTCGGATACCAAACCACCCTCATTCACTGAGGGACTGCCGCCGGAATGTTGTTCCCCGATAGCTTCCTGGGCTTGACAAGAGCCAACCCCCACCTAGGATTCATGGAGATATTTGCGATCCCTGTAGAACATGGGCGATGGCAGATCTAGCTTCCAGGCAGAGATATTGGGGGTCACGTCAGTATGCAGCACCGGCTTGACTGAGGGTCAACAAGCTAAGGCACCCCGTAATGTTTTGAGCAATTCAGGGAGCAATGAGAAAGCTTGGACCACTTTTCTAAAGTTAAGCTCCTATCTAAGCGTGCAGAATACACTAATCGATAGCCGCTTGCGCATTGGCACTCTGGGGAACGCACAATGACACGTGCGAGAGCACGGGCCATTTACAGCCGATCGATCACCTTTTTGGCGTCTACAGTCTGCGAGAGAAAACCGGTAAAGGTTAGTCTAGAAATACGCACTCATCATCTGGTGGCTTTCGCTTGACCATTTGGCCGCCCGCAGAGGATCGATCTTTCTGATTGGGCGGCAAGAGCGACGACCAGCGTCACCTACCTTGTACCGGCAGTTCACTAAGAATACTAGCCGACAACGTTTAGTCAGTCAACATTTGTTCAATGTCTTACCTTAACCGTTTGAGGTTTCATCCCACTTTGCCTACATGTTGTTTTAACTGTCAAGCGATGTCCGTTGGATGGGCAAAGTCTAATTCCAATCACCGCTTGAAATCAGATACAGGAAGATATCAAACGCGGGGACATCGCTCAGTTAAAAACGCTACTTTCCGAGCGCTTTCATTGGGCCAGTGGCATGGAAATTGGATGATCCTTAAAGCCGGCTAAACAGTTTTTGTGAACAAGTCCGTTATGGACATACCCTAATGGTGCCAGTCTTTGCACTATGCAACACATGTTCTTGTCAAAGAACGCGCTTTGAAACCAAGGAGCTGGAACAGATTGAATCGCTAGCCGTGTAACCTCCTAGATGAGGTTGTTCTCGCCCCCTCATCAGTGTCCAAGGTCTCACAACCCACTTCCCTTCGGCCTGAGCTAGCCCCCCAGATCAGGGACTCTGCCTTGCCGGCTTGCGCTGCGTCTTTTTGGCCGAAGCTTTCAACAACAATGTGGTTCAGATCCATCAGATCTTTGAAAACCTTAGAAGTGAAGACGTAGACATCTGCAGGTATGAAGGGAAAGGAAAAGGATCTCGATCTACTGGTAGGTGTGTCCTTTCATCAGCCCCGAGTTGTGCTTCCCTGTCATGTCGGAGTTCGACCTCTTACATTAGGCTTGATTATTCCATTTACCAAGTTACAATGGGCCAAATCTTGCGCCCGGGGCCGGTATTTAGCTAAAGGGTCAAAAAACCCATAAACAAAGCCGCGGCCCAACACACGGCTCCATATAAGCGAGGCACCATAAAAAAATCCTAGTCGGGGCCAGGGATCCCTTTAAAAAACCCAAAAACAACAAGGACAGCCCGATTATTCCATTTACGGTAAGCTGTTCGACATCATGTCGAGCATCTAACCATGTTAGTCTAGCCGTTCGACTAAGGAATGGGCTACCAACCTTAAACCGTGAGACTCCATAAAATCATTCAGCAGTCTGGCCATCTAGAACATCACGTCTCACGAATTGATACTGCTTCATCCCATCAAATTACGTTAAACGGCCTTCGTGCGTAAGTGCTCGGGTGGGCTTTGTTAGGCTCTGGAATGTGCATCCTCGAACACGAGTATGAAACCTTCTGCCTGTCTTTTAGGCCTTTACGAAGAAACTACAATTTCGATTTCGTAGAAGAGCTGCTTGGCAAAGGGAAAAGTTTTGTCAGGGAGAAACGACCTATCTGTGCTCAACAATGTAGAAGTCTTGCGCAACCTGACGATCAGCCAGTGAAGATCTTGCGAGTGAGGACCTGAAAAAAAGGACCCCCAAGCAAAGGACCCCTTAGATGACCAACCCCCCCAAATAATGGACCCCAAAGCGCCGGACCTCGCAAACAATGGACCCTCAGGGCTGCGGACTCCAGTGTGACGGACTCCACGGTCTTTAAAAAGAGCCACCACCCCTCTCAAAAGAACTCTTTCTCAAAAGAAAAAATATGGAAAAAAAGCAAAACCAAAAAACAACCTAAACCAAGACACCGAAAAGATGGTGTGTTTAACAAAAAAAAAAAACCACAAAAAACTAAATCCCCAACAAGCACAACCCCCCTCGGGGGAACACAAAGATTTCTAGACAAAAGAAAAAAACCAAATCAAACCAGACAGCTACATCAAGAAAACCGCAAACCCAACACCATCCTTACCAAGCCTCCGCTTCTCCGTAACAAAAAAAAGAAAAAAAAAAAACAAAAAAAAAAAAACAACGGGGGAAAGGCGAGATTGAAGTAACTAAATGAGCGGTCTGACAGAAAGAGGCAAGACGATAAGTACGCGACGTAGAACCGCAGAGAGGCCAACAGGCCCTAAACCCTCGAGTGCCTCAAAAACCCACAACAGCCACCAACCCACAACGACCTGTCCTAATCTCGAAGCTTAAATACTTAATAGGGCAGGTAGTAGGTGGGGACCGGTAATCTGGGCCGCAGTTTAAATGGGGGAAGGAGCGAGTGGTACCTCAGGCTGTTGGAATGGCTGATTAGCTGTGGAGGCTGACGTGGAGGGCCGTCGCTGGGGTTGGGGGAGGGTGGACTGGAGTGGATCTCGACAATGGTGAAAGGTGGCGCGGAGGGAGAGGAGCAGTATTCTCTGGTTGATAAGGCGGTTGCGGGGGAAGGAACAGTGTTCTCCGGCGATAAGGCTGCGAAAGGCGGTGCGGGGAGGAACAGTGTTCCCGGCGAAAGGCTGAAAGGCTGCTGCCGAATGGCCGAGGAGGGAATATTGTGATGCTTTGGTGGAGGACGATTCTCGTCGTCAGTGGCCATGGGTTTCTTCTGGACCACATTCGCCAATGATTCGGCCATGAAACCCCTCGTCCTTCTAACATAGACCCATTGTTCGAGGCAGTCGTAAGCCATATTGCGATCCTAAAAAGGGCCTCAAAGTCCCCTAGCGAATAGTCGAAATTCTCACAAAGAGCGGAGAGGACCCCATTTGTTTCATGAGTCTGTATTCCCAACGGACAAATATTCGATTCTCCATCGGTATCTATTGGTCAACTCCTTTAGAAGTATGTCCTTTAGTTGATATAGAGTCATAATATCAGACGGTTCGGCTGAAGATAAAACAGGTTTCTTATCCTTAAGTCCATTTTGGGTGTGTGTTATGTGTTAATATAATGTAAGCTTGGTAGTATTTGGTGTTTCTAGGTGTTTTCTCTGCTGAGTAGAAGTTATAGAAATTATAAAATTAGTTCTATCAATCAAATCGTTATAATAAGCGAACGATTAAGTAACATAGAACCGTAACTATCGCGGCGATATCGGGGCGGACTTCCTTCAAGATATGGCCTCTAATCTGTTACTAGTATTAAAGTACACTACAGTGTTTAATACCCGGTATGCAGTTACTTGTATAATAAGACTTATCACTAGATATGGTATCTTAATATGTCTATAAAGTCTAAAAAAAGGACCTATTATAAAAGACACCTTATATACCAATGTACTAGGCCAATAAGTATTAGTGGTAGCGTTTTGAGTTACCGACATGTAGATTCAGTATGGGGCCACAGCTATTATGTACTGATGGAAACAAACACTCTATCTATGGCTAACTACATAAAAAACAATGATGAATTCATAAGGATGTAGAAGACCATCATAGAAGGAACTAACACGCTACACTCTTTCTCTCTTTCCCAAACCAAGACAGAGAGACAGCTATCAAGCAAGCTTCATCATACTATCCATCTTCCAACCCCAGTACCGAAACTCCAACCAACCACCACCAAACAAACCCACCAGACAACCCTCCCTTCAATCAAAACCCAACCATGTCGTCCGTCCCCCTCCACTCCCCCATCCCGTCCACCTCACCCGACCAACCCCCCATCCCACAGCCCCCACGATTCCAACCCGCACCCAAAAACCAAGAACGAGCGCAACCTCAAGCTGCGCTTCCGACCTCGGCCCCCGATCCCAACGCCGGCCGTGGTCCCGGTCCCGGCTCGAAACCAGCACAGATGCAAAGCCGAGCCGCGACGGGACAGGGAAGGATCGAGGCGTGGAAAGGCCAGTTGAGAGGGGAGGAGCCGTGGACGCCTGACCGGGGGAGGGTCGGTCGCTCGCTGGCGGGGGGTGGGGAGCTTCGTGGGGTTTCATGGGGAGGTTGTCGAGGGTGGGAAGGAATGGATGAATGGATGAATGAATGGGAGGGGTGTGGAAGATGGCAGCATGGTGGAAGGGGGCAGAGGAGTCACGGGCAGAGCATTGGGGGAGAAGGGATGGAGAAGGATTCAAAGCAGAGGGATGGTAGAGGCAATTTCATAGACCGATACGTGGTTTTGCTCTTGAAAAACCCCAACCACCCATACCCGTTCATGCTTTTTCCGCTCGCTCTCCCCTTTTCCATCCCAGCTGTATTAACGTAGCATCCTGTGGCCGCTTGTGACTTGCATTCAGTGCGCGTTCAATCCTCGTCAGCCCTCGCCTGGTCTGTGAGAAAATCATGTTTCCATATAAATTGAAAATGGGAAATTTTGTGCCACTCCGCTGTCTCCGTGCTCTGGGGTATCCCATACCCTAGCGATTTTTGGCACTGAGCCGCTTAGTCATCACCAAAATCCTCATGCCTCGCCACGATATGGGACAGAGTGGTTGGACAACTCCATGTTTCCACTGCTTCTTCTCGGTTCATATTCGCTCCCCATCGCCCTTTAGATCCTCTCCGACTCTATTCCTACTGCCGCGATTTGGCTGTCAGCCCGCTTTTACGAATTGCAATCGAGATGCGCGTCCTTGTAGCATCCACGGTGCACAAGAGCCTGATTCTGTTTTCGAATTTTCTTCAGAAGAACACGGCTGGCATGTCTGACTGAAGTATTACTTCCTTCCTCTATCAAAACCTATCATCAAGAGGCAAGTCCGCCGACTACAGCCCTTTGTGTCACAGGACCAGTTCGGCACTGTGAGGGGGTTGTGGGCGTTTCGTTCCTATACTGAGCATGTATTCTCGGCACATTCTCTGACCGAGTCGAATGAGATGTCCCAGTCGCTGGCAACCAGGACTTATCTGTTGGCCGATGTGCAAGACTCTTCTCATGATGAGAAAGGCATTGAGAACGTGCAGGCGAGACTGCAACAGACGAAGCGGGGGCGAAGATTGGAGCGAAAACCGCAAACACAGCACTCCTCAGGGAAGTTTCAAAAACGAGGCGGCACGATCCATGAGTTCTACATAAGAGCTTTGGATGAGCGTGATAGTGGCGATGTCTCCCTTTCCCCTTGTTCGTGAGCACTTATCACGAGGTGTCTGATAGCCGTACGATCAGAGACGAGGGACGCTGATCTCGTTGTATATATTAGTAACTCGAGTCGCTTTAACACCCCACCAGATGACGCTATTTCGTGGGCGCGTTTTCCCTCAATCCCATCGGCTCGCAGACTCCAAACCACACTGTGTCCGGCTTTCAAGGGTTTCTTCATTTGAAAGCTCAACGAGGATTTTCGCACAGCCAATTCTAAACGTATCGTTATTCCCACAATTCACATGTCCTTCGTTCTATCCACGTTTCCTTCTCGTCTAATGGTTCCCATACACAAGGAAAAGGTGCATTAACATAAGGTACAGATGGTTGGAGGTCATTCTATCGCAATCACTGAAGAAGATTACTCTCGGATGCGGTTGTCAAGATTGATGAAATGCAGGCGTGAGCATGTAAGACGGTTCTTCAGGTACCGTCAAACACACTCATTGGTCATGCGCCTGACCTCCTCTTTTCCATGAACAGGAAAAGACAGTGATGCCTCCCAAATGCTTCAAAATGGATTCCGTGACAGACAGAGGCAGCGTTCAGTATGAATTCCCCTTCTCCTGTCATAGGTCCTTTCTTTTCCGTGGCCGTGGCGGTTCCATATGGATTTCCGGGTGCCATTTCCTCAAATGTAGCAGTCGAGTATCACTGCGATTGAACGACTTAGGGCATATTGGGCAGGGATTTTTCGGGCCAGTACCAGGGCAATGGTGACGCCTCTTATTCCTGTTGCGGTTCTTGGTGCCTTTCGTTGCGAGCACCCTACCACAATCATCACACTTCCAGCTGTCGTTAGTGGGATGGGTTTGAGTGGCTGAGGTCGAAGACGTGGTAAGCAGGAAGGCTCGCGATGAGTCCCCTGGCGACAACCTGCCGGGACAGGTTCGGTCGCTGGCTAAACGAGCCCCGGGTTCATTACCGTGCCGCGGAGCTGGATATATGCCTGACTCCACCACCGCCTCATACTCATCCATTTGAATGCCGTTCTGTCTTTGTTCACGCCCACCCTCCTCAAAGAAGTAAGAGTAAGGTGTGGCCGGATTATCTTTAGTTACGTATCCGGCGTGGCTGTCAGCAAGCGCGTCACTTGCCTCTTGATTTTTGTGACTTTGTAAGGTGCTGTCAAAATTGGACCGGAGGTCTTTATGATGCGCTTCGTATCTGGTGGTGTTGACTGCCCCTGATAGAGCCAATGACTGTTGGTCTAGGCCACGGCTGACATCGCAGAATTCATCTGATGGCGCGGTATTGTCCAACCCTGATTCGTGGCCAGCTGATGCCGTACCAACCGCTTCAAATGAATTTGAAGAAGATGCGTCACCGAGTGTAGAGGTTACAAACATCTCGCTCGTCCCACCTGGGTGAAGTGTGAATGGAGCGTCGAACGTGGCCAGAGAATTAGCTGGGAGCTGGATGGCTGGATAGCTAGACTGAGCTCCAGCGAAATAAGGACTGCTTGAGGGTTGCAAAGAGGAAAAATAGCCTCTGCTCTGGGATGATTGAGACGTGGAACCGAGTGACGCTGTTGTAGGCTCTGGTAACTCTTGGTGTCCGGTAGCATCAGAGTGACCTATACTAAGCATAGAGCCCCACCACTCGTCATCAGGAGTATCAATCGTATATTCGTAATTGTTTTCGCCTGGTTCGGAGCTTCGCGGCCCATCTGCATAACTGAAATCCATTGACTGGCAGCTGTGGTGGCCGAGGGGTTGTCTGCCTACAGATTCTGTACTGTCAGATGTCAGAGACTGGAACGAATTCGGCCTAAACAGTTGTTGAAACAGTGTACTCGTAAGGAGAATAGAACATCAGCTATGAAGAGATCTATTTACGGGGTGGAGCTGTTCATCTCGTGGGGTCAAGCCACGCTAGGCCTAATTGGGTCGCATAGTGTTGTGGGAGGGATAGAACCGTGACACCAGAGTTGAGGGCAAGATGTGAAACAGATTGCTCACCTCATGCAGGATTCGGACTCACAGGTGGCTCGTTGAAGCAGCGCTTCGAGCCCGACAGCGAAACTCCGAGAGTATTACCACTGTATTTAGAGGTCACACATGAGCGGTTGGCAGGAACTTAGGGCGCTAAGGAACGGCGCACAAGGGGCGGCGGTATCTGAGGGGAAAGGGCGGTTTCTCCACTCATGAACAATCGAGATCCCACTAGGCTTGCGAAGAGTCAATGACAGAGAGAGATTGATGCTCAAAGGAGGGGAATGTAAAGCAACTTATAGATACAAGCTCAGGCGTCTGACAGACTGTGCCAGATATTACCGACAACATCGGCGACATCATTCCAAAATTTGGGCGACTAATAGTGCATATAGACATCTCCGTTAAACATAGCGGTGGAAGATCTCAATCCGGTAAAAGGTTGGTGTACTGAGCCTGGTAGCTGTTTCGAAATCTTGGGGAGAATTTAGCTTATGTGTCTCGGATCCATCGTTGGTGTTGGGCGTGCATGACTGTAGGACTATTGTTACTTAACGCCCGTAAGGGAGTTTATTAGTTCTAGATTACGGAGCAAAATTCCCTATCTGGGACACATTAGCAGAATATATTTGGTATGAAAGAATATGTATTTGCTAATCAATGCGGCGATCCTTGCACATGTTCGGTAACGTCCATGATCGGATAACGAGAATGTGGCCTTTAACGGGGTCTGGTAACCGTCCAGGCGCGGCTGGATGGTGACCTACGCTAAGCCCGACCTTAAGCCCTACCCCCTATTATTAAATATCGAAATTCAATATTTTCGCTTTATAAATAGAAGAATATTATAATAGTATTCTTCGTAAAACCTTTATAGAGCTATTATAGAGAGCTTATTATCGAGTTTTAAAGTTAAATATCTTTATTTAAATCTAAATATAAACTTTTATAAAGATATTATTAATAATTTATAAAAACGTAAAGCGCTATAAATTTTTCGAGAATATTTATTATAACGAAAAATTCGAGTTTTAAGAATAATTATTATTACTAAAAGAATAATTATTAATTTATATTAAATATATTCTTTATATATATAAATTTAGCTAATAAATATAATAAACTTAAATTTAAAGTAATCTAGTAATTATTTTAAACGATTACTCTTAATAAAAATTTAAGCGACTTAAAATTTTCGATTTTTTATTCGAAATTATTATAGCTATATAATTTCGATAATTTCGAATAATAATTTTAAACGATAATTTTAAACGATAATTTTAAATGATAATTTTAAACGATAATTTCGAACGATAATTTCGAATGATAATTTTAAACGATAATTTCGAGATAAATTTTTTTTTAAATTCTCTAGAAGTATTAATTAATAACTATTCTATATATTAATATATATATAAAATAAGAATTCTTTTCTTTATTAATATACTTACTTATTTTTATTTATTTATTATTTTCTTTTATTTTAGTATATATAAAGATATTATAAAATTAAATCTACTATTTTATTTTTATTTTATATTTTAAAGCTTTTTTCTTTATTATATAAAATACTATAATCTATTATATAAAATATTCTATTTTTAAAAATATCTATAATTTATAAATATTATAAACGTTATTTTTTTAAATAAATTTAGTAACTTAGTAATTTATTATATTTTTATTATATATAATTTTTTTTATAATAAATTTATAAATAATTCGAAAAATTCGAGATTCTTCTATAAAAACTCGAAATTTTCGAGATTTATAAATATTTTAAAGTCTTCGTTATAACTCTATAATTATCTTAAAATTTTCGAAATAATTCTATTATTATTAATTCGAAATTCTCGTAATAATTCTATTATTAATTTAAAATTTTCGAAAATTTTAAGACTCTAAGAGATAATTCGAAATTTTCGCGATAATTCTATAATAAATTTAAAATAATTTAAAAACTACTATTATTAATTTAAAAATTTCGAAAATTTCGAGACTCTAAAAGATAATTCGAAATTTTCGCGATAATTCTATTATTATTAATTCGAAATTTTCGAGACTCTAAGAGATAATTCGAAATTTTCGCGATAATTCTATAATAAATTTAAAATAATTTTAAAAAATACTATTATTAAATTAAAAATTTCGAAAATTTCGAGACTTTAAAAGATAATTCGAAATTTTCGTAATAATTCTATTATTATTAACTCGAAATTTTCGAGACTCTAAAAGATAATTCGAAATTTTCGCGATAATTCTATAATTAATTTAAAATAATTTTAAAAATACTATTATTAAATTAAAAATTTCGAAAATTTCGAGACTCTAAAAGATAATTTAAAATTTTCGCGATAATTCTATTATTATTAACTCGAAATTTTCGAGACTTTAAAAGATAATTCGAAATTTTCGCGATAGTTCTATAATTAACTTAAAATAATCTTAAAAATACTTCGAAATTTTCGAGATCTTTATAAATTATTATTATTAAATATTTAATATTTAATATTTATAAGTTATTTAAATTTTACGCGAAAATTTCGTAATTATAATATAAGTATAAATATTATTCTACTTCGAAGTAACTAACTTAGCGAATATTTCTTATCTCGCGTCTAGACGATTATTAACTTACGGGAATAACTAGACTTCGAGAATCTTAGTAAGTATATATAAAATTTAGTAGTCTAATCGTATATAGCATAGATTTATTAGTAAGAGTCTTTCTATAAAATAATAAAGTTTAAATATAGTTATATTCGGGCGACGTTCTCTATATAAAGCGATTTATTCTTTAAGAAGCTTAATTAACTTAATTAACTACTATATAAGTCTATTTAAAAACTACTATATAGATAAATATATTATTATTTTACTATATTATATATAGTTTATAAATTAAAATAACGAAGAAAGATAACTAGTAATAGCTTTATTATAAAGAATACTAGTAATAGCCCTATTAAATTTAATCAATTATCTCTATACGCTAATGTTAGTATATTAAGATTCTCGAAGTCTAATTATTCCCGTAAGTTGATAATTATTTAGACGCGAAATAGAGAATATTCGCTGAGTTAGCCACTTCGAAATAGAATAATATTCGCGTTTATATTATAATTACGAAATTTTTATATAAGATTTAAATAACTTATAAATATTAAATATTAAATATTTAATAATACTTTATAAAGATCTCGAAAATTTCGAAGTATTTTTAAGATTATTTTAAGTTAATTATAGAATTATCGCGAAAATTTCGAATTATCTTTTAAAGTCTCGAAAATTTCGAGTTAATAATAATAGATTTATCGCGAAAATTTCGAATTATCTTTTAGAGTCTCGAAATTTTCAAAATTTTTAAAATTATTTTAAGTTAATTATAGAATTATCGCGAAAATTTCGAATTATCTTTTAAAGTCTTAAAATTTTCGAAATTTTTAAATTAATAATAATGTTTTTGAAAATATTTTAAGTTAATTATAGAATTATCGCGAAAATTTCGAATTATCTTTTAAAGTTTTAAAATTTTCGATTTTTTTTAATTAATAATAGTATTTTTAAAATTATTCTAAGTTAATTATAGATAATAGAATTATCGCGAAATTTTCGAATTATCTATTAAAGTCTCGAAATTTTCGAAATTTTAAATTAATAATAGTATTTTTTAAATTATTTTAAGTTAACTATAGAATTATCGCGAAAATTTCGAATTATCTCTTAAAGTCTTAATATTTTTAAAAAATTTAAATTATTAATAGAATTATTTCGAAAAGTTTAAGATAATTATAAAGTTATAATAAAGATTTTAAAATATTTATAAATTTCGAAAATTTCGAGTTTTTATAGAAAAATCTCGAATTTTTCGAATTATTTATAAATTTATTATAAAAATATTATATATAATAAAAATATAATAAATTACTAAGTTATTAAATTTATTTAAAAAAATAATATTTATAATATCTATAAATTATAGATATTTTTAAAAAATAGAATATTTTATATAATAGATTATAGTATTTTATATAATAAAGAAAAAAAGCTTTAAAATATAAAATAAAAATAAAAAAGTATTAGTGCTCGTAAATAGTAAGATTATATAGAAATAACGTATATATAAGTAAATATATAGATATATAATTAGATATATTTAATACTAGAATAGCTAAGAGCTTTTTAAATATCTAAACTAAGTAGATAGTCTAAAAAAGACTTCTTAGCGCTAGAAAAACTCTTATATTTAAGCGATATACTTTAAAGTAAAATAAGACTATATATAAATATAGATAAGTGAGAGAAAAATAATATAGCTTTAAAAGAGACGAAATCGAATAAAGAGTCGTTAATAGATATAAAATAGATAACTATATAGCTCGTATTAAATATCTATTCTTAATCTCTTATCGAGGTATTAATAGAGATATTAATAAGAATATTAATATAAACGACTAATTAAATAGCTATTAACGCTATAGTCTTATAATAAATCTACTAACTTATAATTTTACTATTATAATTTATACTCGTAAATAATAAGATTATATAGAAATAATATATATATAAGTAGATATATAGATATATAATTAAATATATCTAATATTAAGATAGCTAAGAGCTTTTTAGATATCTAGACTAAGTAGATAACTCGAAAAAGACTTTTCAGCGCTAGAAAAACTCTTAAATCTAAGACGTCGTCTAAGAGAGTGAAGGTTTTAAGAAGAACTTTTAACGATATCTATTATAGTAAG